GCCGCCCTTTCCGGAACCATGAAAGGTGTCATCACCAAAGCGGTGAGTACATCGTCGTTCGCACCGTCCGAGTAGAAGGAAAGGGAAGTGCAGAGCTGTCGTTTCTAAGACGTTCACACACTTGCTGAGAGCTGCAATGTTTCCACGGGTGGCATCTTTTTTGTCTCTCGCACCCCATGTTTCAATATCACACTTCCTTCACTTTGGGCTTGTGGGAAATTCCCCAACTTGGAGTTCAATGCGGCTGTTTTTCTGCTGAAGTTCAAGCTGCTTAAGATTCAGATTGTGGTGTTTTGTTTGGGGTTTTCTCCTGAAGAGCTAGATTCTTACCAGATGAATTTGCACTGTGAGTAAATCAGATTGTTATGAGTGGAGAAAGCACCGGGAAGTACTTCTGTCCCAAAGGTCAGGGTTATTTTTAAGGTGTATTTCTAATTCTTGATGCTGGGGACACGCTAATGAGCTGGCCTCTTTAAACCAAAACTCATGAGTCATTGTGCTTCATCAGAGGGAGAAAACCTCCCACTCTGCATCAGCCCTGCCTGTATCATCAGTGCATTATTCCAGCTCTGATTTACAGCCCAAAATGTAGCTGGTGATTAAGAAATATAGAACTTTACCACAAAACAACCTAAATAGCATGAAGAATCTTGTGTACGGGAAAACCGGAGCCCCAGACGTGAGGTTGTTTCTGCAGCTGAACTCCAACTCTGCTCCACTCTCCATCTTTTTACACTGATGTAATCGATCACTTCTATGTGTAAACGGGGGTCGATGTGACCCGAAGCTCTTTTAGTTTGGATCAAAGTAAGTTCTGCTGTTTAGAAAGCGGCAGACGTTGGCCTCTCTTGAGCAACTCCTTTTAGATCTTGTGGTAATTTCGCATCTTAATTTGGTTGCTAAAACCCGCCGCCAAACTTCCTCTTTTGGCTCAAATATGAAAAAAAAAAGACGTCGGGGAGGCCAGTTCAGGCCCAGTGTTGAATTTGAGGAACCAAACTAGGCTTTTGCAGCTGCCTTGAGATGTGATGATATTTAGGCTGCTGCCAGGAGGCGAGCTCTAAAGCCACACGGCCTTCTTTTTTTGCCTCTCTCCATTTTATCAGGTGGATCACGCAGCCAACAGAACCCAGTTTGGGAACAAGATCCACACCTACGGAGCCATCCAGGAGAAGATGGCCCGCATGGCCATGCTGCACTACGTCACGGAGGTGAGTTTTGGGTTCGAGCTCGCCTCAAGAAAGCCGCGATGCTGCTCCAGATCGGAGCCAGAAGCCTTCTGGGTGTGGAGGCGGCCGCCCGTTCATGCTGCTTCTGTGTCTTCTTCCAGTCGATGGCCTACATGATCAGCGGGAACATGGACAGCGGAGCCTCTGAGTTCCAGATCGAAGCAGCCATCAGCAAAATCTTTGCCTCTGTAAGAGCCTTGCCATTTTTTCCGTGTGTTTTGTTGCTCTGCAGCACACAGCACCTCTTTTTATGTTACCCTTTTATTATTATTACTGACTTTTAATTTGAAATTATGTCGTTTGTAAAACAGGAAGCGGCGTGGACCGTGACAGACGAGGGTATTCAGGTCATGGGCGGCATGGGTTTCATGAAGGTGAGTGCTCATGAGTCCACTAACAAAACCTCAAATACGCACCAAAAAACAAACAAAACAGGGGGGGGCCTTTGCCTTCACCCAAACAAACTCCCAAAAGTGTGACACCACAGTTGTGAGCCGACCACAGACAACAAACGCGAGACCCTCACAGCTAAAGCGTGACGCTGAAAGAGGAGCGCTGTGTCTGATGTGTCACTACACAGCCAGACTGAAAGGTTTCCTGTTGTGTTGCTGTTTCCGTCTCAGATAGAACAAAGGTTTGGTGGTTTTGCTTGTCTATAACCCAAATACACATTTATCAATGTGGAAAAGGTTTAAAAACACGCCAAACCTTAAAGTTTAAACCTTTCTATTGTTCCCCTTCACAATCTTTTTCTTTTAAAAATATTTTGCTCCTCTTAATTGGTCTTTTTCCCTGCACAGTAGATAAAAAAACCTGAGTTTTTTGTTTTTGTGTTGTGACAGTGAGCGCAGCGTCATTCAACAAATTGATCTGATGGATTCTGCGGTCACCCTCCAACCTGCTTTCAAAAAGAATCCAAAGGAGCAGAAACTCAAAGCTCTGCTAAGCATATCATGAAATATTCAGGGCTGTGAGCTGGACCACGTTCTCAGGAAGCTGTGATAACGATCAGCGGCCGTAAGAGGCTGATTCAGAATTTTGCAGAAAGTCGTCGTAGCGAGTTAAACCGGGGAGAAAAGGGATTTCTGCTGGTCAACAAGCGGCAGAATGAAGGGGCCGCAGGGCGGTCGGCGGTTTTCTCGCCTCTCTCTCCCGTGTTTTTTGGTTTCACTTCTGCGTGTGAATCATCTTTGTAAACACAGAAGTTGGGACGCGCCAAATATTGTCGAAGCTCCGCTGTGTGTTTAGAGGAAAGTCAAACAATGCGGAGCGAAAAGGGACTTTCTATACCTGCCAATTTGGCTGTCAGGCGGCATTACGGGAATATTTTCTGTTTGGCTCCGGCCGAGCATGTTTGATCAGACAGCTCTGCTCCGGAGTGGTGAAACACTTTAAACCTTTAAATCCAGGTCACCAGCTTTGGCCCCCAGCAGCTTGTTTTTGTGCCGTTTTGGTCACACGGCTGCAAACGGCGCCTGTGATGCCGCCCACTCATCCTCAGCTTCCCCGGTGACGATGAGTGGGCGAAAGCGCAGACAGTCAAAAATAGCTGCTTTGCTCGAAAGAAGCCCAGCGATGCGGCGGGGAGCCCGTGGGCCCGTTGTTCCATACCAGAGCATCACTCTGTGGGTAACAAAAAGCCTGAGCTGTGCCGAACGCCTTCTCTAGCCTCTCCACAGGTCGGTGTGGGCATCAGCAGCCGGTGGAAGTTAAATCTGCCCACATGGTGCGTGTGTCTGCAGGTTTCAGTTCAGCTGAGGGACTGTGAGAGCCGGGCCTCTGAACGATTTTGTTTCTCTGCTGCACAGGTCAAAACCCTCAGAAAGGAAGCGTCTGTCTCTATTCCTCTTTGTATCTCGTGTTTATTTGAACTTCTCTAAGAAGCTGAGTTATTTTTATTCATGACACGCGACACAGCCGCGGCCTGCCCGTCTCTGGTGGTAACCCACAGGTGTCCCAGAGTTTGACCCCTAGTCTCTGTGGTCCTGGGCTCTTCACGTTGGCTTTGGCTCAAACTGTCGAAGAGAACGAGCAGGAGGTAACCCCCCCGTTTGCATGTTTTCCGCAGGACTACGGAGTGGAACGAGTCATGAGGGATCTGAGAATTTTCCGAATCTTTGAGGGCACAAACGACATCCTGAGGCTCTTTGTGGCTCTCAATGGCTTCCAGGTAACCCGAGAGCACCTGATTGAGAATTACTTAACAGACCCACAGTGTGTGTGTGGAAACTTTACAGAGGAAGTTTCTTTATTTTCTTTTTTTCCCCTTCAGCTTGCATCCTCCATTCTGTTCTTCCTGTGTGTGTTTCAAAACACCGCAGCTTCTGGTAGTTTTCAGATTGTGTCTGTAGACACAGCTTGCATGTTAGACAGCTTCTGCTTACGACCTCACCACTGGATGTAGCTTTAAGATCTAAGTTAGGGGTCCAACGTGTGCAAAGATGTCCAAAAATAGTCATTTTAAGCTTTGACCTCATTGCTGTGCCGTCTGCAGAATGCCGGTAACCACCTGAAGAGCCTCCAGAAGGCCCTGAAGAACCCCGTCGGCAACGCCGGGCTGCTCGCCACAGAGCTGACCAAGAGAGCCAAAAGGTGTCGGCACGCTTCTCAGTTCCTGTTTGCCCAGTGTGTGGGGGGGTGGGTGGGGCTGGCAAACGGCCTTAGTTTACAGTGGGAGGCGGGGAAGTCCCAAACACACGAGTGTGCTCAGGTAGCTGATCGCATGACTTCCCTCCCACTGCCAGCAGTGAACTCATCTACCGATGAGTAAAAAAGATCAACAAGTGACTAAAACCTCACGTTCTTATTGAAACCTGTTGGTGTGAGAACGGCTTCCGTTCGTTGGCTTATTCGAAATGCAGACAGAAGCCACAGATTCCCGTTATCAGGCTTTTTCTCACTTCAACTACATTTACTATCGTCTTCTGCCTGAAAGATGACACTTTTAGACTAAAAAACAGGACGCAGATTGTCCTTAAAGATTTATACTTCCAGCCCTCTCGACATCAAACCAGGCTGTGAACAGAAAACGATCATTTTATCGGATACCATCAAAAGTGGAGGGAAATATGTTCAATTTTCTACCCTCTTAAGTCATAGGGACAAACTAACCACTTAAACTTTTGTATGTCCAGAATCGAGCCTCCTAGTTATTCTTATATAGAAAGATAACTCTTTTCTTTAAAAAAAAATTTGATTTCAGGGTTTCATCTTTGAAATTATTATTTTTTTCCAGATTAAGGCCATTTTTGTCCCAAAAGTATTAAAAGGGTGGTAATGTGTTCCGTTGACTTGTTAAAGACCGTGTTCCTGTGCTGTTTTTGTAGAAAGGCGGGCTTCAGCACAGGCCTGACTCTGCAGGGCAACGTTCACTCTGAGCTGGCACAGAGCGGCGACCTGGTACGTCCAGCTTTTTCCGTCCCCTCCCCTTTTTGTTGAACAAGAAATCCAGGTGTCATGTCGAAGTATTTTAAAGATCCGGTCCAGTCAAATGCGAGTCTTTTGCCTTCTCTCCAGACCGTCAAAGCCATCGAGCAGTTTGGGGCGGTCATCGAGGAGCTGCTGGTCAAACACGGCAAGAAGATCATCGGTAAGTGTGGGAACGCGTCGGGAAGGGAAATGTGTTTAGGCGGAAAACGGGCAGCTCACCGGGGGCCTCCTCTCTTCCAGACGAACAGTTTATCCTGAAGAGAGTGGCGGACTGCGCCATCGACCTGTACGCCATGGTGGTCGTCCTGTCCAGGGCCTCGCGCTCCCTGAGCCAGGGCCACTCTTCAGCCCAGCACGAGAAGATGCTGTGTGAGACCTGGTGCATGGAGGTAAGCCCCCCCCCCCCCAGGGGATCCCCCCCCGGGGCTGAGCAGCCGGGGCTGAGAGGGGGGAGAGAGGGGGAGTGCTGGCACTCTTTAACCCAGTTAGGCCCCCGGTTGTACTGCAGGTTACATTTAACTGGTTCTTTAACAGAAGAATAGGAAGATATATGCTAATTGAGCTCTGATGGGGCGGGTTGGGGGGGACTTTTGAGTCTCGCTTTGACAGGAAGAGACGAAACGCACTCAACTTTACGGGGAAAAACGCTGAGAAGGATCTAAGAGGCACAAATAGATTTGATCTGTTTAAAAAATGCTGTTTAGAACCAAAACGTTGTACTATATGGATGTTTTTAAGATGGGTGTGGCTGCTTTAGTAGATATTGTTGTTAACAATGTTTGTTGTGAAAGATTTAATCATGTTAAAAGTTGTAGTTTTTTTACGTAGGTGTGATTGAAGATAAAGATCATAAGAACTGAACCTCAGTCACATTTTTAACCTAAATCAAAATCCTCCAAAGCTTTGAGGTCGCATCAAGCCATGAGGGGCCTGATGATCCATAAAGGAATTTCTGCCACAGAGTACAGAGATATTTGATAGTTTTAAAATGTCTTTCTGTTTATTCAGCAGTTGTTTTTTTTCTGAGTAAAGGCTCTCTCGTAGCCTCTTCCAGTAACTGATCTCAGCTATGATTGTAAAGGCTGTAGAGAGACCTCCTCCTCGCTTTGGCTCTCAGAGAGTCTGATGAACGGGTGCCCTGACCCCCCCCCCCCCTCTCTCTCCGTCCCTCAGGCTCACGACCGGGTCATGCGTGACATCAAGGTCCTGCGGTCGGGTCAGTCCAAACAGCTCTTCAACAACATGCGGGCCATCTCCGTGGCGGTGGTGGACAACGGCGGCGTGGTGGCTCCTCACCCCCTGGGCTTCTAAACCCCCCCCACCGTCTCATCCCGTCTGTATTTAGTTTACCCCACACCCCTCCGGATCTCTAACCAGGTTCTGTTTCCCGCGCCAAACTGAGCGACCGGATAATCTTACGGTAGCCATCTTTGCTCGATCACATCAGTGCTCTTCTGTTCGGCCTCACGGGGGAGGCGGCTGCACAAAGGCTGGTGAACCCCCACCTTTCTTTTAGTTTTTTTTCATTTTTATCTGCCATCTCACGTTCTCTAAAGCTTGAAGATCTGAGCTGTGATTTTTAAATAGTCAGGATTGTTTGAAAAAGGGTTTAGTTTTATCAGAAAAATGACCTCATGGATTCAGTCCCGCTTCCATCGTCCTGAACAGCTGTCGACTGAATGTCTCCAGATGTGCCGACGAGGCTGGTAAACGGACCATTTGTGACTCGGGACTTTAAAACCACTCAGTCTGTTTTTGTCTTTGTCAAATCTGCATAAATAAAACGTAATCAATGCAACTCCGAGACGAGAGGCCAGTTAACGGGGAGGTTATAAAGCTCAAAGGTCTAAAACATAGGTGTTTGCCTACTTTGTGATCAGGTGTATTTAACGGTGCATTATATGTTTGTTTTTTCTATGTATTTAAATGCCTCTTTTGCATGTTAAGCTCACAGAAATGCCAAGAGTGGAACCTTTGCCTTACAAACTGCTCCACGGGTGCAGTAACATAGCATATTTCTCATTAATGGCCGTCTCGTTCGCTTCTCAGTGCAAACGTTTGTTTCCTGCTGCAGGTTGCAGGCGTCCTTCGACCCAAAAAGAACACAAGCCGTCCTCTTGGCGTAGTTTTAAGATGCAGAAGAGCTTCTTTCGTATCGATCAAATCATCTGTACATAGAAATTAACGACATAACGTGTTGGTTTTAGGAGTTAATCGGCTCGGAGATAAACTGACGTTGCTTTAAACAAATAGTGCTTAAGGATGGCTCATGTCGTATCACGTGTATAATTTGTTTGTCATAAAGTTATCTGCCTCAACAAGCTCTTGAATGCATTAGACTTTAATGTATTTGTACTCAGTAACGGTCATTAAACTCCCTTCTGTTGGGCTTTGGCCTCAGTATCTGCTGTTTGTTTGTTAAAGAAGCTACTAAACCGACAGACGTTTTGGTTTTCTCTGGAATTTTCTTTCTTTTCAACCCTCTTGAAAACATTCTTTAGACGCCTCTCTGCGCTTGTTTGCTGGCTTCCTGTTTCTGCAGAGCTCTCACAAAGCGACGGCTTTGGTTTCACTTCTTCCAGAGCAAACGCCGAGCGGTGGTGGGGGGGGGGGCTGCCAGTAAGCGGCTCAGCGGCCGCCCTGCGGTGGGGGCGAGACGGGGCCCCGCGGTTTCCTCGCAGAGAATTCCCCCAGACGAGCCCGGCAGCGCGCCAGCTTAAAGATCGGCAGCGGCTCAAAGCCTCTGCGACTAACAGCCAGAGCCCGGGCCGGCCGCTTTCATTTTCCCACAAACTCTTGAGAAAAATGCACAAGTTTTGGCGAATTTCTGCTCAGCTTGAATGCTTTGAAAGTTGAGTGAAAACTGGAGAAAGGGGCGTACAAAATCTGCCTTCAAAGGCTGTTATTTTGAGCTCAGTCCACCAACATGCTGAAGTGTGAAAGCTTTTCCTAATAAGGTACAATAATGCAGCTTCCTGCTCATTTAAATCAAACTGGCCTTCTTTTCTCTAGCTGTTTTCTTCAGTCTTGACCAAATGCAGGTGGTCCGATCGAACCACGAACGTCTCTGTGCCCTTTTTTATTCAGCTCTTCCATCTTTTGTCTTTTTAAATGCAAGTCGATTCAATAATTAAGGAGCAAACTTTAAGTAGAAGAAAGGCTCTCTGTCCATCTCTGTGAGCAGATGAAGCAAAGACTGGATCATAACAGGAAAATAAATAAAATATGATTTAATGTAAGCACAAAGACATTCACTTTAACATTTCAGAGGCCAACAAGCACTTTGTAACGCCTTTGGGTAACTTATTTTCACATACTGGAGCTTGTCTGAACGCGGTATAAATACACAAATGGAGAACTGTTCGGAGCTGGTGCGCCCTGCAGGGGTCAACCGACCGGCCTTTTCGGGGTTCGTTATCATCGAGTCCACCCCCACGTCCATCATTCAGCTTCTGCCACCGGCTGACCTCCCACTGTCCGGACAACAGAACGCATTCACATCATTACCTCGTGAGAACAAGATTTTTGGGATCTTGGGATGACCGGATTTGAGGAATTTGTGTCTCTCTGCTTCAGACATAACTTCCTGTTGGACAGAACCCTCAATCTGTCCAATCCGCCGCGGCCTGAAGACGCCCGCCGTCGTCATTCCCTGCCCAGGTGTAGCTGGTTTCCTAAAAGATTAATTTCCCAGCAGCTCTGAGGCGAAGCGTTTCCCCTGAGACGACTTCAGATGAAGGCCGAGACCTTCCAGTTCGCAATGTTCACATTCCACAGGATGAAAAACCTCCAAAGGGCCCCCCATGTTGAAAGACCCTCCCCCAGATGGTCCCAAAAGATCCACAAGCTCAAGAAGAGGCTTCGTGTGTTTTCAGCCAGGAAGCCTGCAGTCACAGAGCTGACCGTAGGTGGCCGTAGGTCCAAAAAGAGAGAGAACTGGACGTGGGCCGACAGAAGATGCCGACTCAGCTCCTTTGGGCTCTGTAGCGTAAACACCAGCACCCCGTGAAGGCGTCCTGAGGGAGGAGTTGCTTTTCCCCGTCAGACGGCGTCCGACTGGCAGGACTGGGAGTCCTGTGAGGCGGCGGCCGGCGGCAGACCGCCGTCCTCCCCCCGCTCCTCTGGGACATGAGAGACGTCTGCGGAGACGATGGTCAGGGCGGTCAGCGTTCGCTCCCTGAGGGGGGAAAAGAGACGCCAGTGAGCACTTTGTGTGTCTTTATTGTGTGTCTTTATCTTTATTCAGAGGGAGGACGCCTCGGTGGGCAGCGGCCAGCTCGTCCCGCACTTCTGACAATTCCAGTCGTCTCTGAACCTGAAAAACTACAAACTGAAGGCCCCATGGTGCGTTCCCGCGCTGTTGGAAAAATCAGACAAATCAGCCCTTTTAACCTTTGCTAATTCATAAGTAACGCTCAAACTATACGTTGGATTTAGTCATGTGTAGCAAACTATTTTATCAAGCTGACAATGACAGATTCGAAAGTCAGGTTTTTCCCTTTAGTTTCATGCCGACGTGTTTTAAAGTTTCTTCATTTTGTTGAGCTGAACAGAGCTGAACTGAAGATTTGGATTTGATTCTGTGAGCTAAAAAGATCTGCATGCAGTGACCGGTGAGAGCTGACTGAGTTACACACAGTGAGTTATCTAAATCTGGTCCTCAAAGGCTTCTGTCCGTCAGGTTCCAGATGTTTCCCTGCTTCAACACAGCTGCTTTAGATTGAACCCGTTAGCCGGGTCGCCCATCTGCAGAAAGCCACTTTTAGGGGGTCCACCTCCCACAGAGGTTGGTTATTTTTAGGATAGCTTTATCAAACTGTGAGCCAAACAAAAGATCTGTTGTCGTTCTCTGCTCATCTATGGAGTTTTTATGATTGATGTCGTAAAAGATGCCGTCATGTGAAACACTGAACACAAACTCCCTGGGACCTCTCCGTGTTTACTCCAAATGCAAACAAATGGGACGGTCATTTTCCGCCAAACATATTTTCCCACAAACACGAGCTCACGCGCCACCAGTCGGATTCAAATCGACACTAAACAAACACAACAGAGGTCCCCGCTCACGAGGGCTTTAAAGCAGCAGAAGTGACACCACCTCAAGCACTTTTGTGCTTTTAAAAAGCAAAATTCTCTGTTCCTGGATTGCAATTTCCCCTTTTTTTTTTTTCAAAGAAGCGGAGAACAAAGTCAGCAGCTGGAACAGGAGGAACACCACAAAAAAAGATACATAGAACTAACTAATTATATATTGGTTGAAGTCTTCTTAATAACTAACCAGTGAAGCTTATTGATGAACTACTTTATCATTAGCTTACTCTGAATAACTTGGCAGGATCGAGTTAGTCCTCCTCTAAAAGGAAACTTTCCCCAGAGGTTTTCCTCTTTGAATAACTGTCTGAGAACTTTCTGCTGTCTCCAAATAAATATGGTCTTTTTTTTATTCACAGCCACCAGCTGCCTGGTGAGTTTCCTCTTTCAGTTTCCAGCCTCTTTTACAGACTTACTTCCAGTAAATTTCAAGTGCCGTCGTAAATAAAACAACATCCTTGGATCACACTTCGAACACTGTCTACTCTTTTAGACCTGTTTTTCTTACATCACCAAATTGTCAAATGTGACCAGGTTCATTCTTATGAGACCCGGTCGGCCAGTGGTGGTCAGATGATGTCACCATGTCCAGTTATTGGAATAATTCAATATTTGTGAACTGTATAATAAAGTGTCTTTGAATTATTACTTGAAAATGCACTATTTCAATTTGTGAATTAACTGTATGAAAGTGAGAATTAATATATCTGAACGTAATAACTTCCTCTTATGATTTCTGATGACATCTATACTAATGTTTACAATGTTAAATTAAGTGATTTTGGTTTTGTCTTGAGGACCCCAGGGAGACTGGCTCGTCCCACTTTTGGTGACAGCTAATGGGGGATATTTTTAACAATAAACTTGGCCCAAAAAGCGGATTTTGGGTGGCACGAACCTCGCTACGTGCTGCGTCTGTTTCCAGCTGGGTCGCACCGTCAAACCCAGGAACGCCTTCAGGTACCGGGAGCAGCACGGGAACCGGAGGCTCAGCTTCTCCAGGAGCTCCTCTTTGCGCAGGCCGTAAACTATCGGCGCGACGCACTGCGCCACGCTGAAGAAGGCGAAGCTCACCAGGGCCGACAGCTCCTTGGTCTCGGTGGTGATGGCCCCGTTCCGGCGCAGGAGGGTCACCACGAAGTTGAAGAAGTTGGGCAGCAGGTAGACGGCCAGCTGGGCCCCGTGCAGCGCGATGGTCCTGCACCCGGCCCGGTTGCGCCGGTTCAGCACCCCCAGGCGCCGGCCCTCCAGCAGGATCCGCGCGTAACTGTACAGGATGAGCAGCGTGCACGCGCCGATGAACAGCACCTTGTGCAGCTCGCCCCTCCTCAGCTGCTCCCGGCCGCAGCGGCGACTCCCCCCCCCGGGATCCTCCCCGGGATCCCCCCCGGGCCGGAGGAAGAGGGCCAGCGGGATCGCCAGGGCCAGCATCCAGGTGAGCGCGCCCAGGAGCCAGGGCCAGCGGCCCTCCGCGCACGCGCAGGCGGACGCGTAGCTCATGGGGTGGCACACGGCGCGGTAGCGGTCCAGCGCCATGGCCGTGAGGGTCAGCAGGATGTTGGAGGCGCTGCTGATGAGCACGGCCACCATGGCGCGGCACGCGCCGCGGCTCGGCTCCGCGCGCAGGTGCAGCTGGCAGTAGAAGACGCTGCACGCGCCCAGGTAGACCAGCGCGGAGGCCAGCAGGTGGAAGACCAGCACGAAGCGCGCCTGGCCGCGCAGCCTCCGTTCGCGCACGATGGTCCAGTTGATGAGGAGGTTGAAGAAGAGCAGCACGGAGAAGGACGCCGTGGACACGTAGAAGCGCGCGCGGGTGTAGCCCCACGCCTCCGGCGAGCTGCCGTTCAGGGACATGGTTCCTCAGCGGGGGTTCGGAGGAGGAGGAAGAGGAGGAGGAGGAGGAGGAGGAGGGAGTGTGTCCGCCTCATGGTCCTCCCTGTCTGCCGTCTGACTGGAGAGTGACTCAATCTGCGCGCTCTAGCTCCGCTTTACGCGAGTTGTCACGTGTGTCTCACGTGAACTTGTGATTTGTTGTAGCACGTTGATCTAAATTCCAAAGATGGACCTTTTCAAAGTAGTAAAAATGGTACTTAATTTGCACAATGGAGCCATTTTAATCATTTCAATGCAAGCCCAGAGCATCATACTCCTGCTACCATGTTTTACACTTGGGAAAGGTTCTATTTTGTGGAGGATATTGATCCTGTTATTTTAATTAATATAATCCTGTTATATCTCTATTATATTTCTGAGTAATCTTTGATTATTGTGGCATATGCTCCCTAACAGCCCTTTTTCAATGTTGTTTGGTGTTTTCATGATGGTGGAGTCATGAACATTAACATCTACAGACAGGTCAGTCCATAATTACTGACTTTGCGTGAGACCTGTGTGTCTGACTGTGGCTCATCAGTAATTTAGCCCCAGCACATCTTGTCTGAAATCTCCTATAACGAGAACCCCCTCAGATCTTTAACCCTCAGATCCAAAGCCATCTACCTAAATTTAATACGTCTGCATGTTCTCCTGTGTCTGTGGGTTCTCTCCGGGTTCCTCCCACCGTCCAAAAACTTGCATTGTTAGGCTGATTGGACATTCCAAATTAGTCCCTTAGGAGTGAATGAGTGAGTGTGGTTGTTGGTCCTTGTGTGTCTCTGTGTGTTTCTGTGACGGACTGGGGACCGTCCAGTGTGACACCGCCTCTCGCCCATTGACCACTGGGATAGGCTCCAGTCCCCCTCGCGACCCCATTAGGGGATAAGCAGTTATGATAATGAATTAATGGGTGGATGAGGTTGTCCTCGTACATTTCCCTGGTAGAGATAACTGGTCTAAGGCGAGTTTTCTCCAGGGTGAGAGCGTGCTGCCACCTGCTGCTGTGCAGCTGCACGTCAGGACGCCACACAGCAACAATGAAACCGCACAATGCAACGCGAGTTCCCGATTCTATCAAAAACAGAAAACCTGTTCGAACTGAAGGCCCTCTGGCTATACATTCACGTGCTGTTAGCCTTTGTTCATTCATTAGTAATCCTCAAGCTATAAAGTGGATTTAGTCATGTGCACATGTAGCAAACTATTTTATCAAGCTGACAATGACTGATTCGAAAGTCAGGTTTTTCCATGCCGATGTATTTGAAAGTTTATTAATTTTTATGAACAGAGACAAATGGATCACACTGTTATTCGCAGAACCCCAGAAGATTTGGATTTAATTTTGTGAGCGAAAAGATCTGCTGGGAGAGCTGACTGAGTTACACGCATTGAGTTGTTGTTATGTGATTAATGGCCTAGTGTGGGATCTAAATCTGGTCCTAAAAGGCTTCTGTCTGTCAGGTTCCTGATGTTCCCCTGCTTCAACACACCTGCTTTAGATCGAACCCGTGAGCAGGTGGCCAAAGGACAGGATAGAGATGGGATCAAATTAAACTTGTTCGTAAAACGGGGTTTTGCAGCGAGAAAGAAACCTTCCTTTGTTTGTCCTGGTTGTCTTCACCTTCGAACTCGTAACATTTTAGCTTTTGTAGCTTTGGGGTGAGTCTCTTTCTGATCTAAGGAGACTAAAAATGCGAGCTATTTCCATTTGTGAGGACGTCACCTGCCCTCCATCTTGAGGGAAACACGGAGGAGGCAGTGCCATGATGTGGGTTTGTTTTCCTCTGAACCGGAGGCAGTTTAATGAAGCATAAACACTGCTCCAAAGCACGCCTGTAATCTCAGTCTCTTCCTCCATCCGTCCTGTTTGGTGTGTAATGAGATCTGCAGCCTCACAGGGTCGCCACATCACTCCCAGTCTCACATTTCTGTCAGCCCCTCTCCTCTGGCACCTCACTTATCATTTCTATCTTATTTTGCAAGTGTATTCAAACTATCCACGCCGTGTGTAAATATCTTTGCTTCCACATGAAAACACACAACAGAAGCTTAATTTTTCAGAGACATCTTGCAGTCGACTTTGTTAGTTTCCTGCTCCAAGTTTTGAATAATTGAGGGGAAAGAAACGCTCTAAATCAAATACCGTGCACTTCCTGTTTGTGCTACATGCAGGCTCATAACGACGAGGGCTGTGAATCCTCCTAAGAAGTTATCCCGGGAGATAATGTGTTATTTTTTTTCATCCCATGCAAAGCGTTAGTTTGCATCTTTACCAGGAGGGAAATGAACAGTCGTGTTTCAGAGCGTGAGAAACGTCTTGGAGTGACTGTGTTGGCGCTTTAACTGTGTTAATCGGAGTTTTTTCATCTCTGGGGGTGGATCTTCCCCAGAAGTGAAACCTAACTGACATCTTTAAGAGCCCCCTCCTTACCTGCTTTATTCTCGCGCGCTTCACGCATCACATCTGCCCTCGGAACTTGTTGAAGGTGAGAATTTATCTGTTTTCTATCAGAGTTTGGTAGGATAAAAAAAACCAAACACAGGTAATTTCACCTGCTGCTTTGATTTACTGTTAATTAGTGCTCGGAAATTCCTCTTCCGTGAGCCTACAACGAGCAAATGACCCTCATGCGTTCAGAAATGGGGAACAAATCAAGTTCACTTTCCTCCCATTTACAGGAAGCAAAAATATAATGTAGTAGTTTTACATCCTCAAAAAATGATTTTCGTTCGACGTTTTACGCCAAATTTATTTAGCATGTGCGTAAAAATAAACAGTAAAACGTTGTAAACGTGTTTTACATGCTTATTGATAAACTAACTGAATGGTGGGGGGTGGGGGTAGAATGGGAGCTTAATGGATGGTTAGCTAATTGGCTACTGGAAACGACCAGAAATGTCGTTTTTAATCCTTAAATAAATGTCTCCGAGCCAATAATCCACCTTTAAATGAGACCAAAGACTCAATTACAGTCTAAAATATCCAAACAGTCAAAAGCAGGATAGTTAGTTGAAATAAAAAATAAATGCTACTTTTTCCTAGCTTTTAGCTATCTTAAAAATGTGGTTCTGTGTTTAGTGAAATAGGATTATTAGGACTTACATTGAATAATAAAGTGTCCCGAAATTAACTTATGACACCCACATTTTGTAAGCACCATAAAAGCCTTCTGATACACGGTAATAAATCTTTTTTATTCTTACCTTTGTAAATTTAGGGGGCATAAGGACTATCCAACTTATGTTGAAATTGATTGATGCCACTCTTTTTTTTTATCTTTATGCTTGTGGAATACGTTTCGGTTTTAAAAAAGAGAGTATATCTTTTCAATACCTAGGTTAACAAAGCTGCTTCCTGCTTTCCTGGTATAATCTCTGTAAACCTTTAAGCATCCAAATGTCTATTGTCTATGATTTCATTCACTTAAGTTGAAATCAATTTACAGTTTTTGTTTGTAGTGACACAGAACAAAGAAAAAGTTGGAGATAAGATCTGTCTGGGTCTCAATGTTGTCTAGAAGAGACCGGTTTCTAAAAAAGTTATCCTGGAAAGTTTTAAAGAACAGCCTGACCGGCTCAAAAAAACGCCGTAAAGAAGACAGATGAGCCAGAATTTTTAGGCCAGATATCTGAAGTAGAGCAGTGGGAAAATCATGGCGTGCAAGGACGAAGAATTCATTGAGAAATACTCTAAACCAGGGGGGGAGCAGACCTGTCTGAAAATAATAATAGTTTATCTTAAATGACATATAAATCCAAAAGACCCAAAGGCCAGAGAGGATTCTGGGGCTGGTTAGCCTTTGTTGTTGCAGAGCTACGAGTCCAAAGCGGTGCAGTCTGGACTCCCACACAAAGTGAGAAGGCAATGTTGGAACACCACCAGGGAGGCAGGAACTAATACTTTCTCACCGTTTCTTGGAAACAGTGAAGGTTACACGAGGCTGTTGTAGGCAGAGCTTGTTCCAGGTGGAGGGGGACTCAGAGGCCGGTTAGCTGAGACCCAGCTCCTGCCTGTTGGACCGAGGCAGCGCCGGCCTTTCTGAATACATAAAATCCCAGAATTCAAGCGGTGTAGATTCAGGTGGATGGACTTGGAGAAGGAGAGGGCGCTCTGAATCCAGTTTCAGTGCTAAATACCTCCATAAAGCCAGACCCACATTATTTTCTACAGGAAAACATGAAGGAAATCATGCCACAGACCCTTTATTAGGCCTTAAATGTCCTTGTTTTATCTCTTTGAGGTTTTGATCAGTTTTTTTGTCCAGTCCTTTGTAACTTCTGTGTCTCTGTTTTAACGTCCTCCACAGCTCTCTGTTTATCCCTTTGGATGTTTTCAAGTGTTATAACTGAATAAAGTTGCTATGTTTGTGCTATATGACGAGCCCATGCATTTAAAAAGCGCTCTCTCTCTCTCCAGTGCCGTGATGTCTGCTCCGTATCCGTATGCGCAGCCGCAAGGCATGGTCATCCACCAGCAGGGTCCATATCAGCAACCGCATGGCATGGTCATGCAGCAGCAGGGTCCATATCAGCAACCGCATGGCATGGTCATGCAGCAGCAGCCCACCCAGATCATGACGGTCACCTCCACCAATCAGAGCCCGGGGACATGGAGCACCGGCCTGTGCGACTGCTGCTCGGATATGGGCACCTGTAAGCCAATCAAAAACGGACGCACTTCATCTCAAACCCGTCGTAGTTTGCCTGCTCTCTGTGGGGAAACTGCGTCGTCTGAGAGCTGCTCACAGACACATCCTTCCTTCTGTTTTCGTCCGGTTGCGATGCAGAAAGAATAGATAACTTTAGCCGTATGTTTCAAAACGCTCCCACATGATCTGATAGGGTTCCTTAAACAGACAATGAGTTATGTATGCTCTCTTCTGCCTTTTGATCGGGCTGAGCTTATCGTCCTGTGCCTGTTAACCTACTCCGTCCAAATAAGAGAAGATCTGTGTGTGTAAAAATGACGAATATTTACTGACATCAGTCTCTCATTGTTGCCTTTATGCCACAGCTTCAACAGGTGGCAGAGGAGCTTAATAATAGTATAAGATGTAGGTCCAGTTGATGGCTTATTAAAGAGCTTTGTGTTTTTAGAAGTCGTAGTCAAATAAAGCCAGCTGCATGTGCTCTTTGCCCTCGTTGCTAAAGCCACATTTAAAGTAGAGGTGATGTTTGTTTGAACATTAACAGTGAAGTCAGAGCGAACCTAAGACCCAAACAAAGCGGCCTCAGAAAAACTCCAGAGAGCCGACATCCAACCCACAGCTACACCTTTTAAAGGAGCAGAAGCCTCTCTGTCCGCTGCCGCGTTGGAAATGAATCCATTTAGCTCCTTTAACTGGAGATCGTATGTGCTCATAAAAAACAGCTCTGGCACGCCGCGCCCTCTCGCCACAGTAAAGTTGAATAATGTAGCTCGAGCAGGTCTGCGGGCAGGAAATCTGTAGTTTTTTTTTACATTTAGTTTCCTGTTCATGCAGTTTTGAACGAATTTGACCTGGATGATTTCAGGTACCGAGAGCTCAGACACAAATGACACGAAAACAATGTCCTAAAACAACCGAATGTTTCACATCTGTGGAGCGCTCTGTGCTTGTTTTTAAGGCACCGGTTTTAGTTTCGGACAAAATCTGACTACAAAATAACCGTGCTGTGGTCAGTGTGAGCAGGAAGACAGGTGGAGGGTAGCACTAAGCTGTGGACCTAAACGGCCCGATCAGAGTCAGGTTAGCAGCTAAAGGCTGAGCACAGGCTCGTTTGGCCACTTTTTAAAGGCGTTGGTTGACCTCTGACCCCCCCCTGTGCCCCCCAGGCTGCTGCGGGATGTGGTGCTTCCCCTGCATGCAGTGTCAGACGGCCGGGGACTTCGGCTGGTGCTGCTGCATGCCGGTGCTGGACTTCTGCTGCGTGGTGTCCTGCTGTCTGCGCTCCTCCATCCGGGAGCGTTACAACATCCCTGTAAGTACAAAATGTCGGGCGGTGGATGGACGACATCATTTGGGCGAGACGTGTCGCACGCCACTGTGATAACGCCAGGACAAATTACCAAAGTCCACTCCGGAGCATAAAACCACATTAAGCGGCAATAATCGAAGTGTTTTTCTGTGGTGGCATTAGCCTCCCTCATCCTCAGCTTTCCAGCAGCTCATATTTCAGCTCGTGGGTTTGTGCACAGCTCTGTGGAGAGCCTGTGGACCGGCCTGTTCCAGCCCAGCTTTAGCTGACGGGCAGACGGCCTCACATCCGGCTCCGGACACTTTGAGATCCAGAGGAGTTCAGGGTTAGCTCTGCAGAAGCAGCCCGGATCATCATCCCTCCCCTGCCGTGCTGACAGCTGCTCTGAGCCGTCTGTGTTTGGTTTCTGTGCATTCTGGTGACCCTGATGGGACTAAAAATCCTCGGAAGATTGACTGCAGTCCTGAACATTTTCCACTTGTGAATAATCTTTTTCTCCGTAGGATGACAGACTCAGAGTAGTCTGGAAATGGCCTAATAGCCCCCGATGCTTCTCTGAGATTATCTCTGATGTTTTTCCTCCTTAACTCCTCCTGCCTCCCAGCTGAATGCTGCAGAGCAACAAACTGAAACTATCCTGGCGCCCAGCCGGGTGCTGGTGATCATTTCATCGTGTCTGTTAGATCAGCAGCTGCTGGCTGCTGCTCAAATCACACTCTCGCAAAAGCAGTCAGTTACGAAGCTGGAGAGGACCGAAGGATTTTTTTTAATGAGTTCCTGACAACTTTTCAATGTGGGAAAGCTTCTTCAGAAGTCCTCACCATCAGATCAGTTCTGTTCTATTGCAACATTTCCTGGGGTTTCATCAAAACACTTAAGTGTCCTAATTTCCTCTCAGTCTCAGCACAGATCCCCCCCAGAGAGTAGCACATCCCAGTGCTGCCTTATGAAAGGAGAAAGAAAACAAACTGGGCACTGTAACCCCTGACTGGACTGTTTGCCCCGTTGAGTGTTTCAGTGGGGTTGTTTGTCTTGTCCTTCGTCCAGCCACCACTGACTGACACAGTTGGAGCACAGACGTACACATCAGACCACCAAACGACTCATTCAATCTGGAAGCTGTTAAGAAATTCCAAAAGCTTTAGTCATAACGCAGACGGCTTGCTATTAATCACTGGATAAGTCAATGGATTTTCTGTATAAACAAGTATATTGCGCAGATAAGAGCTTTAATGTGTTTCAAAGCAGCAGAAAAGGAAGCACTCTGTTGTAGGATGAGCTATAAAAGCTCAGCAAAGCTACAGGTGAAGGATAGCGATCATCTCCAAGGGAAACGGGCCGCAGGACTTATCTGTTGCTGCAAAGGAAACTGATTACCAACAATTGCCAGCCTTTCTGAGAAAAGGCCACTTGCAGATGCGCTGGTTTTCTAACGAAAAACGCCAGGAAGTGCCAGGTTTCACAATGTGTGAACAGATAAAAGGAAGAGAAGATTTTTTAAAAACTTCTTTCAAATCACAGCTGGTTTCATTATTACAAAGTGAAAAAAGAGGAGAAGGGAACATTTACATACCACCCATCCTGTCAGCCGCCGTCAAACTGTCCATTTTAGTGCTGACTGATGTATGAGATGTGTGTTTTGCAACAGTGAAGTTAACAGAAAGGAATTAAGCCGCATGCTCTTGAGCTCCCAGCCTTTGTAAAGAAACGTTTTCTTAGTTTTTTCTTAATGAAAGCTGCTCTGTGTGAGTAACAGGTCACCTTCAGTCTGTCGGGCCCCACTTTGGTGGACTGAAAACCCCAAACGTTGGCCACCTTTGGTTAATATTTTAGGGGTGTTACGGCAGAGGAGGGCTCCTTTTTGGGGGGGAGGTGATTTAAAAGTGTCCGGCTTATAAAGTATTGCTCCTCCCGTAAGGTTTTAGCCTCCGTGAGAAGCTTTGATTAATGCTGCTCACTGTGATCAGACAGAAACCTGTTTGATTGGTCTGATATCTGGGTGACTCCCTGTGTGACGCCAAACCTCAGCTCCCCTGTCACCAGAAAGACAGCATTTACAGCATGAACATGTCCTGGCACATGCTCAGAGGGCAAAAACTTAGCAAAGAAGGGGGAAAAAGGTCGTTTTGATCTTTAAAATCTACCATACAATCCACCATCAAGTTGAGAACAAACAAGAAACTGTAGCTGATGTTGTTTAAACACAATCTTTAGTGAGTGAAGGCAGATTTCTGCTCAAAAGTCCACATCTCTCAGGTTGGATGAATACGACGCGTACTCAGATGAAAGGGCGTCCATGGTTACGCCCGCATCCATGTTTTCACAGCGCACCGCCACACATAAAAGGTGCAGCACTACGAAGACAAAACCCCAATAAGGCGTGTCCAGTGGTTTCTGTGATTTGTCTTCCCGATGTTTGTGCGGCCTGACACTGTGCAAATACAGGCATAAATACGGGCCTTTCGCCGGTCTGCGCTGCCTCACCCGGGTCTCCTTTCCCTTTTTCTTTTTTTTTTCTCTGTAGGGATCGTGCTGCGATGACTTCTGCAAGATCCTGTGGTGCTACACCTGCACCTGGTGCCAGATGAACCGGGAGATGAAGATCCGGCTCAAGCAGCAGCCCGCCACCCACTCAGTGGTCACCACGCAGGTCATCAGGGGCTGAGCTTGCACAGTCAGCAACGTTTAGTTCTCAATGTTGTAATAAAGGTAAAAACATTTCACTTGGAGTCGGTGCTTCGAAAACGTTGCAGTTTGTAATTAGCTGTTTTATACAATTAACATGGAAAATCTTGATTTGAAAGTTTCTGTTAAAACCAAATGTTGTAATTCCCCTTTTCTATTCGGTTTGTGATCAGTTCTGTCAATAAAAGGTTTCTCTTTCCTGTCACATGGTCGTGTTTCTGCCTTCTCATTACCCCCCGTCATGACGTGAAATGTGTTTAATGAAAGATGTTAGACTTTTTCTGTCTGAAGGAATTAGGTTTTTGAAGATGATTAGAAATGAAAGACCCATTTCGTCTGGAAGTATGCGGCCGTCAAGTTTTACATATTGGGCTTTCCGTGCATGGGGTCACGATTTGCATTCAGTGTGAGTAATATACAGACGTGACAACACAGACAGATGTGGGGAAAATAATGAAAAATGCACTTTTCAGTGACGTAACAGCTTGAATTTGGCACTGGTAAAGGTTTCAAAACCCTCATCAGTCTTCGTTTCTCTTAAATCACCCTTTTTTCAAACACTGCAAACTATTTTAGATTGGAAATTTTTGTGGTTTTCATTTACAAAGTCATGATTTCCATTCAGGTGTTTGTCACATATCACCCCTGTTATGGTTATGCAAAGCTGAACAAGTCTGACCCCTGTAAGACTGTAAAATATCTAATCAAGTACAACATGATTAGCAACATTTATTTCCAAAAAGGAAATGCGTATATGGATTTTGTCCTGAGCTCTGGTCAGTTTGGGCTACCTCTTTCTTCTCAGGTTCAATAAAATACCAGCTTCTTCTCACCTCACTGCACAGTCTCTGTTTGGTCTCACACTGATTTCACTTGCTGCTCATCATCAAAGCCTTAAATGGCCTTCAACCATAAATTAATCTGACCACAGACTCCACAGACACTGCCCTGCTGTGTATGAACACACTACCGTTCTCAGCTTTTTCTATTCTTGCCCATCTGGAAATCATTCCCTTTTTGGACTCCAAGTCTGCAGCTCGTCCTAAAAACATTAGTTTTTCTAATTCCGTTGATGTTTATTTGACCGAATTGTATCTTCCTGACCTGATGCATTCAGGTCCCACACCATGGCAGCTCAAGGACACACACAGGGCCGCAGCCTGAGACACAACAGGAAAAGGAGGTGCTGCTCACAGACCTCTGGATCTCAGCGGCCAGGAACTCAAAAGAGCTTTTACCCGACTACAGGGAGGAAAAGACGCCGCAAAGAACTCAGTGAACCGTCTTTATGACTCTTCTCCGTTCGGTCTGGAGGCCTCCTGCTGTACCTCTGGGCTAAAGACACGTCATAGTTTTACAGCCAACAAATACTTGGGGTCCGTTTCCCGACGGTGACCTGCTGTGTTATGGAAATGAGAAGCCCGCCCCTAATGCAGCTGTGCGGGGTCCAGATTAAGACGCAAGCAGATCGGCTCCTCATTGTTTCGTCATCTTTTTATCCAGCGTGGCAGAAGCCGAGCAGGACTCTGAACCGCCGGTGTGGTTATTGTTTAACTGGAATCAACAGTTCCAGTAGGTGACAATAAAATTGTTTGCATGGTGGCAACAATTCACTCCGAGCCTCTTTCCACGCTCGGCCTGATGTTCTACAACTGGTGTTTTTGGCTTTGAAGAACAAAGGGGAGCTTCTGTCTGAACAGAGAAGAGCACAACCCCAGTCCCCCAAAATACTGTAACACATTAAGAAAAACAGCAAAAAATATCCAAAGCTCATAAACGCACTTAGATTGAGCAGAGAAAACATGCCAGGTAAAACTAGATGGAAGCAGCTTGTCATAAACATCTGGGAGCTGAAGCCAGCTGCTGCACCTCTGGGGGAGGAATTTCATCCTTTTCCTCTCTGATAGACTCTAGATGATATTTTAGATTTCACAATGGTCTTCTGGTATCTCTGATACCAAACCTCTCTTTTTTTCTGAAAAATTCTTGTGCTTACATGCCTTTCATGCTCCATCTACTTACATCTGCCTGTGTCATCATGTCTAAAAAAATACCACAAAGACCACCTAAAAAGAAGATTATGATCTGTGAACATACTGAAACCTAACCTGTCACTGTCGCACGGATCCATAGCTCAGATTAAGAGAGAATTATTTTTAACTTCTTCAGTCTTTGTCCCTTACACATAGCTGACATTGTTTTTGATTTGCATGACTAAACTTTAGCCTTCAACTGTGGATGATAAGGCGAACTCTGCTCACGTACCATAATTTCTGGAATGGTTTCCAGGCTGTGTCATTTAAGGGCAAGAAGATCATAAAGATTGACTGTTGGATATTTGAACATGACGTCTGAATGTGTCTCCACACAAACTCCAGATCTTCATTATTTAACATTAAAAAACATTATTCTAAAATTTACTCTACAATTTGTGGACAGTTCTTTTCTGAAACTCTGCCTGTCTTTACCTTTCAGAGACTCTCCTCCAAGGTTTTTTTTGTAATGGAGCTCTTAGTAATTAATCTCATTGGCTGTAATATAATTTCAGTTGTTTATTTTAGCATAACTAATATGTCGTTAATCTTCTTAAAGCATTTGGATTCCAGGTCATAATTCATGCATACATTATGGAAATTGAAGTTTCCACATCTGTTTAATTGTTTTATTGCCCATACAACAGCGCGGGTGAGGCCGCAGCATAACCTTGACCCGCCCTGTTCAGTTCATATGTCTTCCTTAATTTTCCTGTTATGTTTCCGTCCAAGGAACTGAAACTTAACTGTAACTGGAAGACGAGTCACACTGTAGAAAGTGAGGGGGAGAATTCTTGTAGTGTAAAAACTAGACACATTTCCTTTCTGTTCACAGTGGTTGAGTCGTTTATATTTGACTTTTGTTACAAATAAAAAAGAAAAAGTCTCTTGCTTTTTTTTCGTAATCTCTATCAAATTTATCGCAATTCCTTGATTTAGACACATTTCAGTGTCCCCACTGAAAGGCAATATGTTCTCCATATTTCTGTAAGCCTTATTGAACAGACAAATGTTCAATAAAATTGTCGAGGAATGTAGATTTAAACAAATGTTTTTTTAAAAGGGCACATACTTGAACCTAATAAGGAAATCATGTAATTCGCAAACAAAACTAACATGGGATAATGTAAAAATTGAGGACTGTCTGTTACTGCAAACAAAGTTGGTTTAGAAACACTTAGAAAAGTGAGTGTCCTTAAATCAAACGAATTTACTATATTTCAGTGGTTTGTGTGATTGGATGATGTTAAAGTGATTAGCCAATCAGGGAGCTCTAAATAATTGGGCCTTCGTTTTAGAAGATGAGGAGCCGTTAGCCGCCGATGGGTCCCCATGACGTTCGGTGAGCCTTATTAGCTCGTTTAAATTACTGTTTTAAAATTGATAAGCTAATAACGTTTATTGTCTTGGTAAACATCGAACGGGAGGAAGAGAAAGCATTGTTTAGGACTCATTCAGCCAATATTGTATTTATAAGAGACAAGCAAGTCATTAAGAGATTGACAGGAAGCTAATTGTTAGCATAAACACTATGCCCATATTGTTACAGGCCATATGGAAATAATAGCCTGTTCGTGTCACTTAAATTTGTTTACAGAATAATAAGATGTGCTTTTCTATTAATATGGATATCAAACTTTCGTAATGTCTGTTGACTGAAAAGTGGCCCTAATTGAAGACCAGCCTCCAGTATTTTACCTGCCCAGTGCGTCCCCCTTGTGGACACCCAGATTACTTGCATCCCTCTACACCAGTTTTGGGAATTTGTTTCCAGTCTGTTTTTCATTTTTCACACATTACAACGATCATTAAAACTGTTTAATCCCATGGTTCCATTTTCCTATCTGTTTTACAGGGTCATCATGGACAAGCTGTATGTTTACCTCACGGAAATGTCCTTTGGGACTCCCCTAAGCTGCCTCCTAAAGCATGAGGAAGCTGAAGAGTCAGACCAGACCAAAAACAGGAAACTTTCTCTCATCAGCTTGAAGAACCTGAAAGTCTACTTCTGACGGAGGAGGTAAACAGATGGACCCCTGGTCAGCCTCCAGTCAAAGGCTCTCCTCACAGGTTATGGCTTTAGATGGCCACCAGATGTCACTGTCACTCAGTTTTTCAGATATGTCCATCACCTCTACAGATTTCTACACACTGACTTATAACTTTTTGGGAAACCCAAAACTGGGGGGGATTAACATCTGTGTAATTAATTTTTATAGTATTAAATAAGACCATTATTCAATAAGAGGCAGCTTCATAGATTTTTAAGGTTTTTTTTTTGCTCTGAAGTTTGTTGTCTTGGTTTTCTGTCACTCCCCTCTTCATGGAGCTGGTGAACCAAAGAAAAAGGAATTAAACATGCAAAAGGGTTGGGTCTGTGTTAGCCATCAAAGGTGTTTTCTCACGCTCTGGTAGAAACAGAAGTAAAACAAACGGTTGGAATGGGGAAACAAACAAACAAAAAAGGTTCACATGCAACACAAAAGGTCAGATGTTCAAATGCTCTTAAAACAAGCTTTCACTGAAGCAAGTGCAGGTCTTTAAAACTATGTTGACTCTTTATTTAACCAAAACCACAGACCCCATAGATGGTGACAATGCCACAGGAAATACCCGTTAGCCTCAAACGCGTGGTGACACTCAGTCTGACAGACGTTGAGCTGCAACTGAGAATTGCTCCTAACTCTTAAGGGTGTATTCAGTTGTTAGTTATACACAAACAATATAATAGAATTTACTTGCTTGTTGGATGAATTTCTCACTTACCTTCTAAATTGTCCATTGCTTTGGAATGTTTTTTTCTTTTCGCTTTCTTTTTCAAGGTTTTTGAATGTGCCATAGAAATTAAAATTGCACATGTAGAAAAATGCCACACGAAGTTGAAGAGAAACACTCTGGACTTTTTAGTTTATTTGACTTAAATTTCCATCGAAAAGATGTGCTCAAAATTCACCAGAAATGTGACTACAGATATAAAAAAGAAATCTATGGAAAGTCTAAAACATGACATCATCTGAACATTAAACTGTGCTAGCTGCTCTTTGACCGAGGAGGGCAACGTTGAGCTATAAAAGGGATCCGCGCTCATGTCGGGCAGATGCATAAATGCTGAGAAAAAGGGAAGCTTTATAACGGACTCTGTGGTTTTATTGTTTCTGGCTAATGTCTGTTACTGTGAGGAGGTTTTTGTGTAGCTTCTTACTGTACTAAAACTAATTTTTATAGTTCAATGTTGCTTTTACCTTAAAGAACACTTTTATAAAAATATACTTTTTCAAAACCAGATACAATTACTAGTTACAACCAGTTGGTGGTTATGGGGGTGAAGTATTCAGAGTACTCGTGCCATGAATGAGTTGATCTTTAGCCATTGGGCTGCCGTTGGAATCAGGTGCCAGTTCTCACCAACCTTTGCTGAGTTTCGCTCAGACAGGAAGCTGTATTTTCCCTTTTGAGATCATCCTGAACAGAAAGAGGAAGTTTTTCTGTCCCCCGGCCCCGCGCTCGAGCAGGCTGCACCTCCAGTGCTCTGCGCAGAGGACCGGACTCATCTCCGCTGTATGGAGGTCTACCAGGAAGCGGTGGCTTATCTGGAGTCCCAGCATGTTCCAGGTGAGGGTAAACTACAGGAATAGTTTGTCCCCAATCCCCCAAAACGCTCCGTCACACCGTCGCTAACTGAAAAACACCTTTTGTTTATTCGGTTGGTTGTGGGAGCTCGGAGGAGCCGTCTGAAATTTGTTTTTCTAAATCTTTTTGCAGTGGAAGAAGAAACGGAGGTGTTGGAGGAGGATGTTTTCCAGGAGGAGGCAGTGTCCTGTTATCTCTCTCCTCTGAACACGGAGAGCATAGACTTCCCCGACACTCCAGTGAGTCCACGTTCCATCCACTTCACAAGTGTTTGCTGTCACTCGATAGGCTCTCTACGGTTTCTTGTTTTCTCTTGTGGGCATTTTGTCTCTCACTAGTTTAATTTCCATAACACCAGTAAGGAAACTGAGAACGGTTCAAGGCTAAATGGGAAGTATAATATGCAGGAAAGTGCTTTCAGTTTGAAATTCATAAGCCGTGCCTCTTATTTTGCAATAGAAATAGTTCAGGTTCAGCCTGTCCACATACCAGCGTTTAGAAAAAGAGAAAACTGTGAAAGTCATTCTGGTAGCAAGTCGGAACTACAAAAAAAATATGAAATGTGGGATTGCTCACTCCTTGTTTGTTTATTTTTTTCTGCATTTTGGTGCAAAAGACTGTTGTCCCTACTGCACTGGATGACAGTGACAAAAACCCAGCAACGCCTATAAAGTGCCAATAGAGATGTGTCATGTTATTTAGCATTAGTCATTAAAACATGCTCTCTCTGTGAGCTGGTGTGTGAGCTGTGGTGTTCTCACAGTTATGCACAGGGTGTCAAGGCCATCTTTTGAAAAAGTTATAAATGGCATTTAGTATGTTTTAAAGGAAAATGCACAAGGACAACATGTATGAAAAGGGAATTTTTACAGACAAATTAAAAAGAAACTGAAAGACAGATGTGGACTGTGGAGGCTGTAGCAGCTGGATGAAAGCGTTCCGTGGCTCCAAAGATCCAGAAAACATTTAGCTAAACATAAAAGATCCTAACACAAAAAGCAGCATTCTGAGAGTTACATCCTGACTCATTGATCCCGAAATACTACTATTAAGTCTGGAAGTGTTTGTTCAACGGAGCGCAGCAGCTGCAGATGTCGGTTTGCCGGCCCTGTGTCTGTTGAGCATGTTGCTGTTGCAGCACTGGTTGCGTCACGGCGCGTCTGGTGGGAACGTTGGCTGCACGAGAGGCTCGGGTATGTTGTGAAACCGCTGTCCAATGCTTGCTGTGCAGACGTCATGCAGCCCGGAGGAGATGTTGGAGAGGAGGCTCGTGGTCCTGAAAGGCATCCTGGAGAGTGAGGAGGTCTATCTCCGAGAGCTCGACGCCCTGCTGATGGTATCATCCCCACAAAACACTGTTATACTTACCCTCCAAAGCAGCTCCACCTGTTGTTGTTCTGTACCAGAATTTAGAGTCTCCCGCATCGGCTCGCTGTGTTCTCTCTCCAAAGTTTCCATGGAAACGAGCAGTCACAGTAATACTGAACTTCCGTTTGGTTTCAGTCAGTACTTGTTTTGATCAGTTGCCCTCTCCAAATACTTCTTTTTTTTCTTCTTTTTATTGAAATACTGGAAGTTTTTTTTTCGGCGTCACTTCCATCCACTTCCATCCATAAATCAGTTTCCCCTTTTTAGATGATGGTTTATTCAGGTCTGAGCAAGAGCCACTTTGAGTTGGTATATATCCTCATTCTCTTACTGGCTAACAGTGGGCTTTCATTTTCACAAGATTTCACCACAAAAATGTATCATATCAGAAAAGAGGAAAGTCAGGTGTGGTATAGGGAGCAACAGAAGCCAAATGTATTTTAATTAAGGAATAATCACATAATTATCCCATCTTCCATTTAATGCTTAGAGCCCATCTATAGCTGTTGGACACATTCAGATTCAAAATGCATTCTGTACAATAAAGGAGTGATCTAATGATCAACTTCTCTTTTTGACTTCAGCATTGTGGTTAAAGCTGGCTAAATGGGTCCGGCCATGTTCCACAAAGATTTTATGGAGCTGGCAATTAAGCAAATATTTCCCCTTTCTGAGAGGAAATACCACCATCTCTGCCCTGAAATGCATTAGCAGTCCATGTTTCTCCATTCCTACAGGCTCATTTAGCAAAAATAAGTCAAAATACGGATGTGAGAAATTAAATGAAAGTTGATGTGGCTGCTTCTCAAAGCAAACGTGCCGCTGCTTTTAGTGGTGCTTCGATACATGTGTTCACACACTCATGCTCTCTGCTTCACCACAGCACATTTCTCTTCCCTTATTTTAATCTTCCGCAGAGAGCGGGCTGGCTGCTGCGGCCCTCCTATGTTTGACCAGCTCACTGATCCCGCCTCTTCATTCTCTCTCTCCCCGAAGCCCATGAAGGCTCTGCGGGCGGCCGCCGGAACCTCCCAGCCGGTGCTGTCCAGTCAACAGGTGCAGACCGTCTTCTACCACGTTCCCGAGCTCAGAGAAGTTCACCAGACGTTCTACTCGAGCCTGAAGGCCCGCCTGGGCTCCGGGGAGGAGGTGGGAATGAGGCACTTTGAGCTGGAGGTGGGGGACCTGTTCCTGAAAATGGTGAGTATTGGGTTTTAATGGAGCCACTTTTTAGTAAGGCCTGTGAGCTCATGGAGGGGTGGGTATGGAGGGAGAGTTTGAACTGCTTGAACCTGTTTTGCAGGTGAACCACATCGGCCTGTATGGAGGCTTCATTGAAAACTACGAGAAAGCAGCCGACATCGTCAGGCGGTGCACACACCCGTCTTTTCGGACGCTCGCCGAGGTGCTGAAGGGTCTTCCATCCCAGAGCTGAATGCAGGAGTGCTCCCAAAGAAATGACCACTGATTAATCTGTCCCTTTTCAGAGCATGTTTTCCAACCACGGCGCAGACAAAGCCCGGACGAAGTACACGTTTGAAGGTGCGTTCTGAGGGTTTTTTTTTCTTTTTTCTCTCCCCACTTAAAGCTGCAGGTGTCTAAGAGCTGCTTCTGTCTTTGCAGCTCTACTCTACAAGCCTTTGGACCGAGTGACTAAGACCACATTAGCGCTGCTTGTGAGAGCACCCCGGATGATGAACCGCTTCATCCAGCGACCCCGAGTCTGCTCCATGTTCACATCTGCATGCAGCCGCTTCTCTCTGTCTTTATACCTTTTTTTTTTTGCGGTTTGTTCAGGATCTCCTGAAGACGACACCGGAGGAGCACCGAGACTACGCGGCCTTACAGGAAACCCTAAGGTTGTCTCGCAGCTTCCTGTCTGGCGTCAACGAGAGTTCGCAGAGCAAACGGGAGGTCACGCTCAGCCACGGCATGGTGAGCCTTCGGTTGTTTCCCAGATCATTCAGTTTTGCTCGCGCCTGTCCTTTAAAAAAAATCGAATAAATAAAGATATGACCTGCGTTGATTCAGCGTCGTCAGCTGATACGAGACGGCTTTGTGGTGGACACGAGCGAAGGGGAGCGCAGCCTGCGTCACCTTTTCCTGTACACCGACCTCCTGCTGTGCACCAGGTTCAAACACGCAGGCAGAGGGTGAGTGTGGAGAGAGGGGCATCGTGGGGAATGCGGTCCATATTCATCTGGCTTGCTCTCAGCTGTTGTACATATAAAAAAATGGCGTTTATTTCCTCCCAGGAAGCAGGACCAGTACAGGTTCTGCTGGTACGTGCCGCTGGGGGATCTCAGGCTCCGATGGGTCGCAGACCAGGAACCCCCGCTGGACACCAGTATCCTCCGAACCAAGATGTTCCACCTACGGCAGCAGCTGCAGCGGCATTTGGTGGGTTCAGACACAGAAAATAAATCTTTTTTTTTACCTTCAACAGATGTGTGAACTATGAACATCTGTTTACAGAAGGGTCCCAAAGCTGTGTCTCTGGCAGCCCGTAGCAGGAAGAAACTGGAACAAATGGAGCTGATGATGATCACACTCTCTCCTGTTTACAGACTGGAGCTGCACAGCCCCAGTCATAAGGTACACAAATGCACATGAGTTTTACCAGTCAAGTGGTCACCGAATGAAGTCTCTAAAGGGTTTGTTCCTCTCACAGAGCCGCGCTCTCCTCTTCTCCTCCCTGTACGAACTGGAAGAATGGAGGGAGGCCATCCACAAACTCACCAGGGACAGTGAGTTCACAGCCGACTTTAGGCCCAAAGAAGTTCAGATCACTCTGACATCACAGCTGTTCAATCACAGTTAATTTTGTGATGTTAGTCTTCTGCCATGTAAATTAATGGATGTTTTTATTACACATTTATTATACATTTAGAGGACAGATTGCTCGATTTGGACAAAGTTGTTTTAATCCCATTAGAATGACCTTCTCTCACTCTATGTAATGTCAATTTATCTGTTTATGAATCATTCTGTAAAACAAATATTTTTTGTTTTCGCACCACTGAAAGGAAATGTTGTACCAGGATACAAATATGTGATGTGGAAAGTAATCCTGTCTCCGAATGGACGATTATTAGTAATGAAGTCCTGAGCTGCATCAAAAAGCTCAAATTCTCTACTAGAGTTTTCTATTTGTTAAGATTGTAAGGAGTTATGATAATGAGAAGCACACGGTTTGAATCCTGAGGGGTTTTCTGTTGTTTGTCTTAATATAAGGCTTGATTCTTTTCATCTCCCACATGGTGCACATTCTCCATCAAAAACAACAGATTAATCTCTAAATCAGTCGGGGGGCCTTTCTAGTTTAAACATTTGTTTTAAACATAAGCTGTGATGAAACTTTGCCAGCGCCGTTTGGAAATCATTTGTGCTTTTCCATCAGAGGAGTCGGGTTTGAAGTGACAGCATCCGAGCTGCTAAAAAGGCTCAGAACTTTAGGGAATTCAGGCAGAGCGGTGGTTCGAATTTCCAACTGATGGCAGCGTTTTCCCTCGGCCGCTCCATCTCAGTCGCATCGCATTCAATCTCAACGACGAAATCTACGAAATCTGTTTAATGTTAGCCAAACATCCTTTGAGATTGAATCTGCCGCGCTTTGGCTTCTCTAGTCTGTTCTCAGTGGCCCCGTTTGCAGAGCACTAAACCACAGCTGAACTTTAGTCTTGACTGTGCTTTCGGTTGTTGCAGAACACGGCGCAGTTTTCTGCTGAACTGCAGCCTGGTAGACCAGATGATGGTTTTGTTGTTTTTTTGGGGTTTTGTGTATTCTTATAGGCATGTGTAAAAGAGAGCTAAGGACATTCAGTGTGTCGGACTAGTTTGCTTTCAGCTGGGTTGGACAGACAAATAAAAAAAAACAACCTGTTTTGTTCTATGAAAGCAGCTTCTTAAAGTTAAATTGTGACACGGTTTGCCATCAGTGCAAGTTCTGATTGGTTCCCTGTGTCGTCAGACATCGAAACCGTCCCTCCGGACCTGCTCACGCTCACCGGGGCCTGTGTGAAGCTGAGAATGACCCAGCACCCCCCTCTTCACAGCTCCAGCGCTGGTAAAACCACCACCTCCGTCTTCCCTCTCCTCTGGCCTCATGACTGCATCCTGCCACTTCAACAGGAGCTTTCTCCACTTTCAGCCCCTTTGTTTCCTGTGTTCTCTGCGTGTTGGCCTGCGTGGCTTTGCTTTCACCCCTGTGAGCTGGTCTCTTTCTCTCTCTCTGCAGAAGAGGACGACAGAACGCTGTGCGGGACTTTGAGCGTGGCCATCCATTCAGCCTCAGGCCTGCAGGAACCAGCATGTACGCGCATTTTCAAACTCGAGTGTCGTCGAAGAGTCGGCGGCTCATTTTTGGATTTCCTGTCTCCCAGGCGTGTACGTGTCTGTGGAGGTGGACGGCTATGAGTTTTACGACCGGCTGGCCCAGACCCACTCTTCAGTCCACAGCCTCAGCCCACACTGGGACCAGGTGTGTGTGTGTGTCTTAACCTGAAAATGAAGCCATTCGAGTGAGTGTTTTATTACTCTTTGGATGGGATAAACAGGAGGGGTTTTCAGCCTTTTCAGGTTTGTGAATGACTCCTGTATGTCCTGTTGGGCTCAGCTCCGACTTAGAGGATTTGAAGCTTTAAAAGATGCCAATGGCAGTAAAATAATGACTAAATCTAACTGGAGCTCAGGACCAAAAGGCTGATAATTCATTCTAGGCCTGTGTTAAAATCGTGATCCTCATTTAAACAGGAGCTGAGCTTCCAGGTGGACGGAGCACAGAACATGAGGGTTCTGTGTGTGAGTCAATCGGACGGACAGGACGACTCCATCCTGGGAAAAAATACCATGAAGGTACCACAGAGCCTCAGTGTCTTTATCCTCCCAACAGAGAGTGGATCAAACACACCAAAGGCAAATGTTTCCCAACGGCACAACAAACAGTCTCTTAGGCAGAGTGTTCATTCAGTTGGTTTATACGCTTTTAATAAATCAAAGTACAAATATGACTCAAAGCCTCGTGGTTTAAGAACCGGGCATGTTTTAGATCAAGTCCTCTGGCTTTTCTGACGCTTTGCGTTCTTTGAGGGCTTCGGTCATAAAAAGATATTCTTCACTCATCAGTTTCCAGCTTTTTTTGTCCAGCTGCTGACGGATCAGCTCTGCCGGATAACGGCCTGTCATGGACCAGTCTTTCAGTTTCCAGCATAAATTTTCCATCCGACTGAGATCCAGACTGTTTGTTGGCCGTGCCACTGAGTTATGTCTCCCCCGAAGAAAAGTCTGAACGTTCTTTGCGTTGTGATGCATCATCACCCTGAAAAATGACCTCAGCTCCGCCGAACCTCCCTTTGATTCACTGGATGAGAAAAAGTTTGTAACGTCCACTCTGTGGAGGCAACGGCTGCCATCTCCTCAAAAACCCCAAGTAGCCGAGGATTGTTCGCAAGCGTCTGTTCATTCACATGTTTGAGACAGTATAGTGATGAGCAGGAAACACTCTCATTTCCCTCAGTGGGTTCAGAGGCTGCTGCATGTCTGAGCTCAGCCTAACGCACCGACATTTCTGTTTGTTAGCTGGAGCCTAAGAGCCTGAGCAGGCGGTGGAGGAGACAGACGCTGGCGCTGGGGCAGGCGGAGGTGACGCTCTCCCTGAAGTTCTGCCCTCACCCGCTGGACCCCCCCGGCTCCGCGGCGCAGCGGCTGCCTGTTTTCGGCGTCGCCATAGAGACGGTGGCGCAGTAAGTATCCGTGTCGGCCACCTCTCACCCGTCTAGACGCGGCGAAACCGAAAGCGGTTTCTGTCCTTTTGCGCGTCACTCCGGGCCAAAGGAGAAGCAGCCGGGGGGGGGGGGGGCAGACGAGGGGTTCTCTGAACACTTTCAACCCCCTCTGTCAGACAGGAGGGCGTGCTGGTGCCTCACGTGGTGCGCTGCTGCGTGGAGGAGGTGGAGAGGAGAGGCATGGACGAGGTGGGGATCTACAGGATCTCGGGAACCACCGGCGACATCGGCGCGCTCAAAGCGGCTTTCAACAGCAGTGAGAAAACGTCCCAAATGCAGAGAAAAAGGAGGAAGGGTCACAGTTTACTGAGTCACCTAGCTTCATTTATCTAAAGACCATATAAGCTTCAACAATAGAAGTGCAGGCTGTTTTGTAATTCTGAGGTTTTGCGTGTCAGAAGAAAATGAAAGGAAGACTCGTCTTTACACACCACAAAAAACGACACACCGTCGTTTATTTAAGGCCAAAAAAGAGAAGCAGCGTGTGAGAAACTGAGGGCCGTCGCGTGTTTCAGCTGCCTGTAGAACCACACCTCGACACAAACCTCACAGTCATGGCTTTTGCTGTTCAGTGTCTCAACCAGGCTGAGGTCTGGCTCACTGGGCGATGAATGAGTTAATCCACTCAGCTTCCTTAGATGGTGTAACAATACATTTAGATATTACACTCAAACACCAAAGAAAGCGGAATTTGTTGTGTACACTTGATGCGTTTCTGCTTTGCAGGTGAAACAATTGAAGTAGGAAACTGTGTCTGTTTAAAGACGATTGGGTAACTGATCTTAATCATCACCTGCTGGTTCCGCTCAGATCTGCGGGAGGCGGTGACCAGACTGAGAAGCACAGAAGTCAACGCCGTCTCCGGCGTCCTCAAACTCTACTTCAGAGAGCTGCCTGAGCCTCTGATACCCACCGCGATGTTTCAGAGTCTGGCTAAAATTCTGGGTAAGCCACACGAAACGCGCTCCACGCTCAATGCAGCCGGAGCCTCAGAGGGTTCAACAAGCTGTTCGGTTGAAACCATGTTTCTTCTTTCTTCTTTGTACATGTTTTAGGATGAAAGGAAAAGCTTTAAACCCACATTTCGTCTTTCAGGCCACATTTCAGCCTCCATCAAACACATTCTGTCTGAACAATGTGTGCTTTTATCTCTTTAAATGTTCAAAAGGATCAAATGTAATTTCTTTTTGTGTGTATGTGTTTTTGCACACTGTTCCACCACCAAAAAAGTAACAAATTCAACTTGTTTTTGTGTTTTTGTGGGTTATTTTTGCTGTAGTTTTTTAGTTTTCTGCTAGTTAAAGCAGATTGAATAGAAAAGGAAATCACAAACAAATGTTTGACAGACCAAAGGATAATGGACTTCAATCCTATGTAAACTTGTGTTGAACCTAACTGGTTGCTCTCTTGCCCCCCATCCCCCCTCCATCGTAGACGTGCAGGACTGGAGCACAAAGATGGACTCCATGTTGTCTCTGCTGCAGTCCTGTCCTGACCCCAACCGCCACACCTTCCTGTACCTCCTGCATCACCTCCAACGGTCTGAAACTGCACACCCTCATCCACCGCGTCACTTTACCGTGTCATTATTCACTTTTTAACAGATTGCTTCAAACTGAAAGATCTAAAGCGAACGGCAGCTTTCTTTCGGTCACAACCCGACCTCCCGCCTCCAGTTTCCTGCCCCTCATGCTCCGTTTCGATCGCTCTCCAGGGTCGCACAAAGCCAAGACGTTAACAAGATGTCCCTCCTAAACCTGGCCACGGTGTTTGGCCCCAGCCTCTTACGCCCCCCCGTGGCCGGGCTGGGCCACAACGGGCCCACAGTGGACATCTCTCAGGAGGTGGTGATACAGGTGGGCACAGAAAAGCTCAGATCCTGACATGCTAGCCAAGTAATCAGTTAAAAGACTTATGCCAATGCATTAAGAAAAAGTGGTGTGACTCACAGGACATATTCAGGTGTTGTGTAAAGGTTCAGTCTGACTGTTTTTGTCTGCTGGTTTGTGTTCAGGTCCAAGTCATTTTCTGCTACCTTCAGTGCAACAACCTCCCAGAAGCCCAAACCTCTCTGCCTTACAGCGAAGACCCTGAAGATGAGACCACCCACCTGTGAGACCACCACCGGTGAGGCGGCTGGCAGCAGATTTAAATAGCGAGTGGAGACATCTGAGGGGGGACTGTGAGACAATAAAGGTATTTATTGATAAAAAGAAACTTGGACCGTGTATTTTGTTGTTCAGTTGAATGTTCAGTTCTTAGTTAACAGGGAAAATGTTGTTAATCGTAGTTTGACTGCCATTAAAACTGCTCCTGCATTCTTACAGTTAATGCCCATTTGAAGCCAACAGGTTTAATTATATTTAATTTGAACTTGAAATGCATACTGTGGACTTTATTCCCCACTATCATAAAAAAAAAAAAAAAAAAAATTGGCCTTTTCTGCTGATCTGAGGCGCTGATCCCCTTTAATGCTCTACAGAGGAAAGAGAGTGGCTCCTCTCGCTTATAAACGTCCACAGCTCGGCTCCACGGGGTGGCACACGGAGGGACGTGAGGCCGAAAAAAATCGGTGGGGCACACGTTGTAAAAAAGGTCAAAGGCCACCACCCCGAGCCTGAAATCCAATCGGTCACGGTTCAAATCCAACTAGACGGAGTTCACCACAAACTGCACGCCCCATAAATGTCAGACGCACACACACACACACACACACACACACACACACGGCCCGTGCTCGACCCGTCCGCGCCACAGATGGGAGTCTCTGTTCAGCCGCGCCACCTGGACAGGCCGGGCTAGTGTTTCCTTTTACCCCAAAGCCCCCCCTTGTTGCTCTTTTGATCGCTAATCCTGGACCCCGAGTCCGGCTATCAGAGTACTAATAGACTCAAGGGTGTGTGCAGACACCATAACAACATCCAGGACAACCTGAACACCCCCTCCCCCTCTCAAAAAGGAAAAGGGGAAGCAAATTTCCCCCGTAGCATAAATCCTGTCCCCTATAACACTCTGGCTGCCACAGTAGGTTTCTGCTCCACGACTACAAAGACAAAACCAGCTTCCTGTCGTGGACTACAAAGGGGACCGAGCTGGTCCACACCTGGGCCCGCCAGGAAAGCGTTTAGTGGGAGAAGCTGGGTCAGTGGCAGGTTCAGACACACAGTGGCAAAACCACATGGGAATTCTTATTGGGACCAGAGATCTGAAGGAGTTGTGCTTCACTTTAAAATAAAACTTAAGCACTATTTGGATGTTTTATACTCTGAACACAAATACAATGAGTAGCCCATTTTTGGTCATAAAGGGACATTATTTGTCACATAAGAAGCACCCTCTGGGTCAGAAAAGTGATGCCAAACCTATATTTTTATCTTGCAGCCAGCAGAGGGCTTTTAGTGTTCATAACCTCGCTTATTTTCCATAATGAGTGGATGTTTTCCGCTGCTCTAACAGAACCACTGAAGAGTCCCGTTTGAGAACAGAAACAGGATGCCCCCCCCCCCCCCAAAAGCATCCTACTCAAACAAAACCGTGACCTTAAAGTTAAAATTGATGTCGCGATGGCTGCGGTTTCACTGGGTCTGTCTTAAGGTGGACGTTCCTCACGCCTGTAAGACAAAATGTCCACGCTGTAGCTGTGTGTGTCTGTGTGTGTGTGTGTGTGTGTGTGTGTCAGAGTGTTGCTGCCGGAGCTGTGCCATGCTTGATTAGTCCTAATCTGGCCGGGAGTCGGGTTGCCGTGTTGGCGGCGTGTCTGTATGGAAGGCATGCAGGCCTCAGATCACTGGGATTGACCCTGTGCCTCTCAGGTTAACAGAAGCCATGTCCCCAAAAACAGCGACTGGGAAACTTTCCGAAACCTCCCAGCTTTTGGGTTCAAGTCTTTCTTGTTTTTTGTGTTTTTTACCTTTAAAAAATGTGACTTGTGAGGAAGGGGGGTGGGCGCGGAGTGAAGGCCCGTTGCTGGCGGGCGCGTTTGCAGGGTAGCCTCGTTGAACTTTGGCCGCGGCCCGGGAGGGACTCGCCCCTCGTAAAACGCACTCCGCTCGGGCTGTAAACATAATGCCTCACACTCGCACACCAGAGGGAGAACCCACCCACCCCTCCCCGCTCCAAAACAAAAGGCCCCGCTCCGGCCTCGGGGCGCCGGTGGCGGGGCGGACGGGGCCCCGCGGCCGAGCGCGCCGCGGGCTTAAGCCGTCTGTTAGTGTCTGTGTAAGTGTGTGTGTTCGGGGAGTTTGAGGATCAAACCCCTCATGTCGACAGAGCCCGCACCGAGGAGACGGCCCCCGACAGGTGCTTCCTGCAGCAGGTGCTTCGCGCTCACGCACACACGCAGATACTTTACCACCGACATACGATTGTGCACGCACTGACGCACAACCCCCCCCACACACACACACACACACGCTCCCCCCCCTCTGACTAACAGAAGTGGTACTCGGGGCTAAACTTAACTCTTATAGCTGCCGTGTGTGCGCCTGCTGTTTTTATGAGTTTGTTTCCTGTTGCAAACCATCTCAAAGGTGCTCATCTCACGGGCTCCTTTTTTAAACAACATTTGTCTGTTTATTGTCGTCGTTTCCACTTATTTCTTCTGCCCGTAGTGACAGAAGCACAAAGTGTTTTATCACAACCTTCATGGAAGCCGTTTGCTTTTGTCTGATAAACTAAAACCTAATTTTTCCCCCTTTCTGGTCTGTTTTGGCCCTAATTTCCGGTCCCCTGCTGATTCACCCCCCTATTTCGTCACATGGTTGTTAAACGTGTCTTTCTGTTACAGAGAGTTTTGACTGGCTTTGAGCAGCTGCCTGTGACATGGAGAGGTGAGAGGGAACGTCTTACTGGCCTCAAAACCACAACGGTGAGCCGGAAAATGGCCAAAAACAGTTACATTTCACTCTGTAAAAACCCATATTTGCACTTAATTTGTTCCAGAGTGCTTTAGAGAAAGCGGAGAGCGGAGATTTCTATTTGTTGTTCGTTAACTTTTATGGAGGTGGTGTGTGTGTGGTTTCAGTGTTTCTAAGTTTAAAAGGAAAACTGGAAGGGTTTAGTGCATATTCAGAAAAATACACAAATCCTGAGAGTTTTGTTTCAAGGTTAACTATCACTATATGATTACGTACTTTTTCCACATTTTTCCAACAAAAAGATTAAACTGATCAAATCTGCAACTAAAAAGGCGAATGAACAATGCTGATTTATATCTTTATCTTAAATTTCCATCTTCTGTGAATCTTTTTTTGTTGTTTGTTTTAGTGCGTTATTTGTGTTAGTTGTTTTCAGGGTTTGTTGTTTTAATGAAAGCTGTTTATGAATGAAATGGCAAACAAAGAGATTCTGATCATTTAGAGACATAAGAAGCCAGAAATTCTGTCTTTATCATTTGGTGTTCAGGGCTGGGATTGTGTCGTAGGCTTTGTCTTTGTTCACCTGTTAATGACACAGGTATTGGGTCACACCTTCCTAAATGTTTCCCTCTCAGACTGGATATGAAGTTGTTGCAGAGAGGAACCGAACACCACTGTGATCTGCTTGTCCGGGGGCCCCCCCGATAAGCTGCCAGCTGGTTGTCGGGGCTACACGGACCTCATAAATACAGAGAAAGCGGGTGAAAAATCACACCCTGCGTGCTCAGCCCCGCTCCGAGGCCGTCACTCAGCAAGTCTATTTTTCTCTTTTTGGGCTTCAACTCGGCCAATCGCCGACACGGCCGCTTCCATAACAACACGGCCGCTCCACAAATGGGAGCGCTTCCATCTGTCTTCAATACAACCCCCCCACCCACCACCACCACCACCTCCATTTCCCCTGAGCCATGACGCCACAGCTCCCAAATGGAAACAGGGGTCATGACGACAGGATGGACGGATGTTTTCTCGATCCGTATCTGGGCTCCCGACAGGCGTTCCTGAGGATTCCTGCACGGTCGGGGAATCGAGGCCGACGTTTTGTTTGGTCTCCGCGTCAGCTGTCCGCTGGGGGAAAAGATAGAAGATTAAGTCAATTCACCCCAGTGTTTTTCCGCGGAGCGCCAGGTGGGAGCCGAGCTCTTTGTCTCGGCCGGGGGAAAAAGCTGCTGGTGTGAAAAGACGAGGCCGGCCGTCGTCACACAGCTGCCGGGGAATCCTGGGTTTTTGGGGCCTGGAGTTTTCAGGGAAAAGTAGATTCCCTCTGTTTTACAAAGTGGGGAAAAAAAGCAGATCTCCAGCTATTGCCATTTAATTAACAATCCTCTTTATTTCAGTCAGGAACACAGAAGTCAAAATGCTCCATCTTTTGATGGAAAGTGCAACTAAATGTTGCTTTTTCCACTAGTTTGAGGGGAAAAGATTTCCTATTCTGATCACGGTGAACCTGCACAAACCATTTATCCTGTCATTTTACTATCAGACCGCCCCCTGTACAGGAAATAAATAAATAGGACTCAAACAATATTTATTTAAAAATCTATAAGACAAAGAAAAACCGCGAGACTGTTCTGACTTGACTTTTAAAATGGGAAAAATGGTAGATTTTCACACTGGGTGCGACACGCGCACAGCAGCAGCTCCGTGCAGCCGCGTTGTGCGTTTTTTTTCTGTGTGCGGTTTGTGTTGTGATCTCCTCAGGTGGTGTGAACAAATGTTTGTCCTTCCCTCCGCCTTCTCGCTCAGGTTCAGCAGAAGGACGGCGGACTCCAGTCTCTAGTCCGTGTCCCTGTTGTGTCTTATTGTTTTCAGTCTGGGTTTGGGGTTGAACACACCAGACCCAGAGCAGAAGAAGAAGAAGCAGACTGTGGCGTCTCCGTGGCCCCCGGCGTGGTCAGCCGAGGCTCGCTGCGTTTCTGGGTCAGCAGGTGGGGGGGCACGTACCCCGCCTGGGCCCTCGCCTGCTCCCCGCGGCGCCGGTGGCCGACGGGGGGCTTCGGGGGGCAGCGGCCCCTCCGGTCCTGCCCCCGGAAGCCCCGTAGTTTGGGGCTCCAGTGTTCCCGCCACTGGAGGGCCAGGGTGGAGCGGTCGGCCACCAGCCGGCTCTCGCCGGGGCCCCAGCCGCGCTCGCCCTCCTCGGCGCCGATCAGGAGGAACGTCCGGCCCACCTGGAGGGCGGGGCAGCCGCAGCCCAGGTCGCGGTCGGGGACCCACAGGGCCTGGGAGCCCCGGCGGACCCGCGACCCGGAGCCGGAGCGGAAGACGGTCTGGACGGCGATGGAGAACTGCCACCAGGGACCCGAGCGCTCCATACCCCGCACCTGAACCTTCAGCACTGCGGGGCAGAAAGAGGCGACACGGTCAGGCTCCCAAACTCATCCGCTTTTAAAACTGGTTTGACATCCGAATCAGTAGAAAAACAGATGTTTAACTCATTGACTACCAGCCATTTTCAGAACAGAGAGTCCCACACTGCCAGAGTTTTTGGAGCATTTTGACTGATTTTGCAAGAGCCACAGAATAGTTTGTGCTATGACTATGTAAACACCGAACACACCAAAAGAAAGAGTAGACTCTCTTCTTTCATCAGGAAAAAAATGTTGTTTCTACCTTATTCCGTTCTTCCTCGACTTGCGTCTCACCGGCGCCATTTCTCGCATTGCGAACCATTACGTTTTTCTTATTTGCCTACAATCTATGCTCATCTCCCATCAAAAGTGGCACTGCCACCTAGAGGGTCAATTTGTTACTACATACTCTGTCTAGAAGCCGATATTTAGGGACAAGCTTTAGCAGATCGTCTCCCAAGCCACTCGCATTGAAAAACATAAAAGACATCTATAGATGTCTTTGGCAGTCAACGGTTGGATTTGAATTGACGTCTATAGACGTCTTTGGCAGCCGATGAGTTAAATGAAAAAAACTGGAACTCACCGTAATCCTTGAGACAATATGTCTCCAAGTTCATCCTGACTTTGGCCTGAGACGGCTGGCAGTATGAAACGCACTCCTCCGCTGCAGCCCAGGGGGGAGAACACAGAGAATGAGAGGCTACGCATATCAGCACATGTCTTTTCCCCCTAATTACAATATGGCCGCTTCTATTTGTCATCACAGTATCTTTTGACTAACACACGATCCCGGGCCGCGGCAGGTGGGACATTCCTCCGGCCGCCGCTAGGAGGAAGTGGTCAGCCAGCTCCTGAGGAGCAGCAGCTCCCCAAAGGCTCCGGGGGGGGGGGGGCGGCCTCAGCGTGAGCACGAGGGGAACTCGGTCAGAAAAGGGAAGGCTGGATCGCTCCTCAGCCTTCCCGCTAGCAGCTGGAACATTTTCATACACAGTTTTCAGACGTGTTTCTGTAGTTCCACAGAAATGAGCTGAGGTTTAAGACGATTTCCTTTGATAAATTGATAAGAAGTATTGGATGAACCCAAGTATTCCAAAAGTTTACTAAAAAATGAGGGATTAGCTCGCTGGTTCAAAGCAATAAATCTTTAATTTATATAGTGTGATATTCCACGTTTTGTAAACCCCTGAAGGCTTTCAGGTTTATTTAAATTTTGCTTTAATCCTTTAAAATTAGTGGAAGGGAAGCCACCCAAAACCCCCCTGGTTCACTTGGTTCAGACATTAATGGTAACACATGGTATTTGTTATGAAAGTGCTTTTAGAAATCATCATACATGCAGTATAAAATATAAAGCTAGACATTTTTATTTCAAAAGTATCATCTCCAATTAATATTTTTCCCCTTTTTTTGGTGCAGACTTTAAAGAGTTACAGGAAAAAAGAAAAATCGCATTCACATTTGAAATAAGCCAATAACTATGTCGTAAAGGTTAATATTAAAACATGAGACGTTTTGAGAAGCTCAGCTTACTCACCTATGCTGTACTGAGGTTGGTACACTGGGGTGGGAGCCACCTCCTGGATTTCTGTAATCATAAACGAGACGCGGAGACACAGTTCAGGCCTTGCTGACGGGCCGTGGCAGTTGTTTTATACGCCACACAGAATATAAGCAAATGTCAACAGGACCGAGCGCGCAACCCTTTTAAGGCGCTCACACCCCCTGTGGGGTTTGCTCAGACACAAACTTTACTTTTTGGTCATTTTATAAGGTCAGACCTTCACTTCTCGTCTGGTTTTGCACCTAAAACATTAAGCAGAGGCCGATAGAGCCGCTCCCTCCCTGTTTATCTGTGCCAGTGAGCTAAGGGAGTGAAAATTAACAACCTGCACGAACATTTCCCAGGCCTGCTGTAAAAGTGTGTGTCTCTCACAAGCCATGTCCCGTTTCCCCCTGACACAACTGGGACAGTGACACCAAACACCCACAGCCAGCCGTCGGTCCACCATGGGTTTTTTTCTGTTTTTTTGTCTGTACTTTTACCATATATGATGGTCCCAATGAGGCAGATCAAGATACCTGGTCTGGCCTTAAAGCTTAATTTCCTTCACGGTTATTCCTAAAATATTTACAGCCTATATTTGACTTTATAGATTTTAAATAGACAAGAAAATTTATCACCACCAAACCCAATGAAACTGAGAACATAAACTCTGTTGGCACCAAAGAAAGTTTTTACATCTTTAAGTTATTTGTGTATGAATAGTATTTTTTTCAGTTGATAAACCACACCAGTTCCCTAAAGTTCATTTTTAGACAAAATAAGTTAAGTATGAAGGCATCCCACATCTGTCTAAGTGATCTGGTCTTGTTCCGTCTGTGTCACCACAAAGCCTCCTAAAATCTGCCTTTAGTCCCACAGTTTAGTTTCATGGTGTTCCTCCCGAAGACGCATAGCTGGTTATTTCTCTTTTTAATGTATCTATTTGTGAAAAAATACCTTCAAAATGATTACACAAAAATCAAAGTTTTTTTTTTTCAACAATTCATTTAGCTCTGGCCTGTAAAGATTCAAATACAAACTGAACATTTAAGATTGGTTTAGCATGTGGTCCTGAAAAAAATTATGCTAAACTTTTCTATGGGCCACTCAAAACGCAGCAGGTTCTTTAAAAAGAAAATACCAACATGATATGAATTTATTTAAATCAGCTACTTAATTTAAAACTAGACTTTTTTTTGTGAACTATCATAAAGCAATAACTATTCAAACAAAATTGAGTAAACAACCTTGCAATGATTGAGGAGAAAAACTAAGTCTATTTTAATTTGCATATTTGGGAGAAATCAGGTAGATAGATAGAAAATCTGTTTTTAAAAAACATTCATTATTTTATAGTAAATATATATACTTGTATTTTAAAGGTAACTTAATGTGCATTTAGAAAGCTAGTTGGCTAATTAGCTTGTGCAGTTTACCTTGATTTAAAAAAATGTTTTTACCCCTCCACATTTGTGAAGTAAGCTCTGCTTGTTTTTAAGTTTGAGTTTGTTACAATTTAATTAGAAATTTTCCTCCAGGTTTCTTTTTTCCCTTATATTTCATAACTGGAAAAAAAACAGGGTATTCATGTTGCAGCTTTAGCTAAAGGCTAGCTGTGGCTAACTCACCAGCTAGTTTTCTTTGGCATTAGCTGTCTGTTGAAATGCAACCAAGTACAAAACTATTGTGAGGCAGGACGGTAAAAAAATAAAATAAATAAAAAGTCAGCTACAATCATTTAGCAGGAGCTTACTTGGATTTTAGCCCGCTGCTACATTTTCTATCCGTCTAATGGGAGAGGAGGCGGAGGTGTCGGGGTAAGGGATGCTAAACATAGCCTCCGATGGCCTGGCAGTAAAAACAAACAAGGTTTTCTTTCACTCGCTCCTTTCACTGGGAGAGTTATGAGTCTGGGCCCTGCGATGGGGGGGTTTTGAGCGGTGGAACAGGTGTGCGGCACCCTGCCTCTGGCTCCCCATTTCACCTGATTGAGGCTTAGAAAGACTTGCGGCCTGTGTAATCGTCGGCACTCGTTTAATTGGCGGTAGATGTGCACTTGGATTAGTGCTCATAGTTGATTTTTTTGGGTGGCAGTCCGTCGCAGACATAAGAGCAGCAAACAATCCTCTTGATCTGACACAGATCCCTGATCAGCAGCAGATCGGGTTTCCTGACACTGGTCAGCTCGTTTTAACACTGCTGTGGAAACTGTCTCTAGGGATGATAAAAAGGAGACATGATGAATAATTGAGCCAGATTAGCCCTGAGGGCAGCGGTGCCTTTTATACCCGGCTAATATTTAATAAAGGGTTTAAGGGCATGATGCAAGGGTTTAATTAATTTAGGACTTTGAGGAAAGAAATCTGAAGGAGAAATGAAGGAGTTCACTTGTCCAAACCACAACAGCAAATGATTCAAAGCCAGAAGGGCTTCGCTCATCCACTTAACTTTGATTTCCCCCCATTTAGAAACTACATTTGGGTCTATTCTGAGCCTATGCTCAGTCACAGCCAATAACGATCCAAGTTACTGACCCACAAGACTTTAAAAAGTTTGAACAAACTCATTGTCCAAACCTACATTTTTCCTTCCCTTCACCAGACTGGGGGACTCACTTATGCATGGCCGCAGAGGAGATTTGCCCTGTTTGTATCCCGGGGCACAGCGGTTACACCTGGGGCCGGTCACCCCTTCTCGACACAGGCACTGACCGGAGGTCTGGTTGCACCAGCGGCCGACGGCCCCCAGAGGATGGCACTGACATGCTGGAAAAGAAAGTCGCAAGATTGAACAGGTGAAACGTTGAACTCGATCCAGGTGGATTTCTTTTATTTTTTTAACCATGTGTGTAGTGGCCAGAAAAACTGAATGAGCTCATTTTGAGCTCATCAACAAAGTCAGTTCTTAGTAAATCTATTCAGCTGGTCTGCAAGTTTGTGTAAATTAGCCACTCAAGGTTTATAAAAAAAACAGGATGCTTTCTTTCGCTTTATATTTTTAAAAGTAGCTTTTAAGAACTTTTTTCTCATTGAGCGGAGCCCATCTTTAATCCTGACTGACAGCGGGCGTCTGACTTTAAGGTTTGTCCTTGAGCGAAACTATCCTCCCGGGATGCTTTTGTTGTAGCTCGTAACGAAGACAAATTCCCCTGTGACGGTAATGAGAAAATATCTCATCACGGCGCCGTCTCCGCGCCGCTCCCGGTGCTTTAGAGAAGATGAACGACCTCGTCGCATAATGAAGACAAATCCTGTTGTCCCGATCGATTCCCCCTCCTCCTGCTTGGGCTGTTTAATGACTGCCGCCTGCATTTAGCCGCGCGTTACGCAGCAGGATTGTTTTATCGGCTAATGTTGTCGCGGGAGACGAGACGACCGAATAAAGGAAGACAGATGGAGGAGGGAAGCCGCACTTGGAGCGGCTCTGGTCACACTTGAGCGGTGTTTACACAGATCTTCAGGACGAGGCCGAACAGCCTGACTGGAGAAAATGAGTAATATCACCACTACAGGCTTCAGCAGAGGGGGGGGGGCTTAGCTTAAGCACGGCCCGGTGGGTACAGGAATGTTTGTCATTTTAAAGCTACACGGTGTAGGAATTTCTCCCATCTAACGGTGAAATTGTATTTTGTATTTTAATAAATCGAGCTCTCTGGTGCGACTACGGTAGCTGTCATGCATCAAGAAGTAATGACAACATGGCTTCCACATCATCGAGTTTTCTCTGGGTGATGAGGTTTGTAATTTAAAAGAAATGACAAACTGCATTGAATCGTTACTGTTAGCATGTAATTACTCCTCCAACAAGATAGCTCGTTTCAATCACGTTACTCTGGCTCTGAACCAAATTGTGGTTTAGCCAGACAGGCAGACTAGTGCTTTATGTCCCTGTCTGCGATTATAGTTTTTCAAAATGGCGGAAACCTCCATGGACTTAACCATCCTATGTATATACAGATAGGGAATTCTTTGCTTATGTCAGATCATGGCAGAGGTCATTTTACACCAAATAAAGACACATTTAAAAAAGAACGAAAATTAATTTAGCTAATAGAATACTTTAGATATTACACAATGTCCCTTTAACACATAAAACCTTACAAATATGAGGGTGTTTGACCGGTGTCGGCATTTTCCCCTCGCCCCTGCTCGAAGAGCCTGTTTACTTTGGATCGTTTCGGCTGGTGGTCGGGCCTCCACACCAGCATGCCAGTCGCCGGTGGCCAGTCAAAGGTCAGGGGTCGCGGCAGATGCCGACCGGCGGTAACGATGGGCGGGGGCGCATGTGTCATCTCACTGGGTGTTTTTTTTTTCTTTTTTTTTTTCAGCGAGCTCTGCTAACAGGAATAGCTGAACCCCCCCCCCCCCCTCCCCCTTCTCACACACACACACACACACAGACTGGGGTTACTGACGCTGGCAGGCCTTGCGGTGGTGCAGCGGCTTGCTGTGGTCGCGGGTGTAGCCGCTCTGGCAGTACTGGCAGTGGCGCCCGGCCGTGTGGTGCCGACACTTCTGGCACACGCCGCCGCTGCGCCGGCCCGACTGCTGGAACACCTCCATGCTGAAGCGGCACTTGTCCGAGTGGCCGTTGCACTCGCAGGCTAGAAAAGAACCAGCCGTTAACGGTAAAACATTTGAAAAAACCCAGTAAAAGCTTCAAAAAGGCAGAAAAAAAACGTGTCGGGGTTTAACTAATGTGTAACGTCTCATAGATGTTTGGATTATTGTCAATAAAATGTTAATGGGAGTAACAATTCTTCAACAACCAGATTTAAGTGAGCCTAAATATTTTTATGCGTTCATAAAAAAATTTAAAAAACTAGCAGCTGATTTGTTGTTAGATTTATTTAATTCCGAGCATCTGGATCTGTCAAACGTTGATACTGGAAAACATTAATGAGGATATCTAAGGCAGATGTCTGGCAATGGTCTGCCTTCACATTTGGAACCTAATCGACATCATGCGGAGGAACTGCATGCGAGGGGGGGAAAAAAATGTTTGAATGCGTCTGACTGAACTATGCAGAATTTATGCCTGCGAGCCGCATGTGACAAAGTAAGTGAGATTATCTTGTGCTGGCTGCAAAGCTGGGAGGCTCACGGTAAAGACGGGGGTCGTTTTACACTAAAACTGGAGGAAGAATGCCCTAAAATGTAGAAGCAGCATTTATCTTTCTAAGTGAATGAATTGTAAGAATCTGTATTGTTTCTAAAAGTTGGTATTCAGACGGACTAAAGAGGAGAAAATGTGTTGTTTTGAATTTTTTTAGTTTTTACTTTTTTGCAAGGTTCGCTGGAAATTTTTTATTTTATTTATTTATTTGCTACTGTTAATTGTTTTTTTTATTTAGTTATATTTTTCTCAAAATTTTTCCTTAAGATAAAAAAAATAATGTTTAGAGAAAAAAAAGCAACAAAACCATCTTAAACATTTCCAACAGACAAAATCTGGTCAGCTTTTCTTTTTGCCGTTTTATTTTTCCCAAATCTGAGACAAACACGTTAGAGCAGCAAAATGTTGCAAAATCACATCAGAAGACGAAAAAAGTCACGTTTTTTATGTTTCATATTAAGCAGAACCTCTACTTACGATCGCCTAAACATACGAATTTTCCAACATAAGAAGTGAAATTTGATCAAATATTAAACTCGACACCCGAAGTATATTTTCAACATAAAGTCGAAGTCATAGAAAAAATACAAAATCTAAAAATAAAATACAACTAAATAAGCTAAGTTAGTTTAAAGTTCACGTAGTGAAAGTTGAAGTTACGTTACGTCCTGTATCTCAGTTACCAGCTCTACCTCCGTTCGCCAATAATTGCCAATACAAAGCCCTTTTTTTTATTGATTATTTCTTTATCATTTATTTCTTTTGAGATCTCTCTTATACAACGCATCTTTTTTATTGCTGTGTGTAATTATCTGCAGTATTTATTAAGGAGTTATCGTAGGTTTTTGGTCTGTGGAACGAATTATACGAATTACAGTGTATTCTTATGGGAATATTTGAACCAACATACGAATATTTAAACATACGAAGTCGGCCCTGGGACGAATTAAATTCGTATGTAGAGGTTCTACTGTACTATTAAGATTAACTGTCTCCAAATCCATTGCCGGAACAGCACAGCACCCTCTCTGCCTGCCTGGTTTTTGTCCTGCTGCCTGGTTTTTCTACGGGAGGGAGCTCGGCCCTCGGGGCTCCGGGGGACTCACCGACGCAGGGGTTGGGCTGGGTGGGCGTGGCCCGGTGCCAGGGCCGGTCCAGGTAGAAGTCCTCGCACACGTCGCAGTCGGGCCCGGCCGTGTGGTGCTCGCACACGCACACGGCGCGGCCCGCCTCGTCCCGCCGGCACCGGGAGGCGTGGCCGTTGCACTTGCACCTCCCTCCCACCTGCAGGTCCGAGATGGCCAGCGGCGTCCGGGCGGGCGCCGCCAGGCCCGATGGCGCCGGCCCCGGGCTCCCCGGGCCCTGCCGCGCGTTCGGGTTGGGGTTGTGGTTCCTCCTCTTCCTCAGCTCCCGGCCTTTGCCGCCGCTCCGGCCCCGCCCCTCCACCGTCCAGTTGCAGCCGCCGCCGGGGCACGGCCGGTGGCGCCCGTGGCCGCGGCCCTTGGCGGCCCTCTTCGGCAGGACCAGCGAGTCGGCGCCGAACCGGTCCTCGCTTTCTTTGCTGGTCGCGTTGTGGCCGTCCTCGTCTCGGCCCGAGCCTTTTCCGTGGCCCTTCCCGCCCTTCTCCTTGCTCCCGCCTCTGGTCGCCGACCTTTTCGCCCCGCCGTCGAAAAACGCCAGCGTGTTGTCCGCGCTCGGCCTGTCCGCCTTGTCGTCCGGCCTCCACTTCAGAACGTCTCGCCACGCCGTCCCGTCCTCCGCCGCTTCTTTCTCGCCCCCCTCGCCCCGTCGGGACGCCCCGTGGAAGACCACCCGGATGTCGGTGGCCGTCACCCAGTCCTGGAGGGTGGGGCTGTAGTCGAAGTCCGGGGCGGACGGGCGCCCGTCCAGGGCGGAGAAGGCCAGCACGGCGCCGCCGCGCTGCCTCTGAAGGGGGCGCGGGTCCGAGCAGAGCGGCTCCGTCTCCTGGTGCCGGGTCCGGGCCGCCGTCTGGGCGGGCAGCCGGAAGACGCCGGCGCAGTCGTGGGCGTAGTGCTGCATGGGCCTCCAGGTGCGCCCGTGGTCCATGGACTTGAGGATGGACACGGCCAGGGGCTCGGGCGGCTCCCCGCGGCCGCAGAACTGCAGGCTGATGTAGGTGATCTCGAAGCGGCGGCCCAGCGGCAGCGTGAGGACGCGGTCCCCGGCGCCGGCGCCCGGCCCCTCGCTCCAGCAGGTGAGGTTGTGCGGGTTGTGCAGGTCGGTCAGCGTGGCCACGCCCCCCCCGGGCTCCGGCCCCCGCGGCCAGGGGCTGGCGTTGACCGGCAGGCCGTAGGCGGCGTTGATGAACTCCGGCAGGCAGTGGCGGGGGCGGCCATCTTGGTGGTAGCAGGGGTCGTGCGGGGAGGTCCAGCTGAGCGGAGCGTGGGAGGAGAAGGAGGAAGAGGAGGAGGAGGAAGAGGAGAGGGAAAGGAGGACGAGCCGGAGGAGCACGAGGAAGAGAGGGGTGGACGGGGGAGGGGAAAAGGACGGGAACATCATGTCATCCGGCCTGTGGGAGGAAGGAGAAAGGCGAAAATCGCCGTGTCACAACCGGAGAAAAAACGCCGACTCACTGATTCATACGAGGAGGCAGAACAAAATGGAGGACGGGCCACCTGCGAAAAACCTTGACCGAAAAACACTCGATACCAGACGGCCCTGTGAGGACACCACTGAAGACCTCATCCCGTAAAAACCCAACTCCGCTCTCCACAGCGGAGTCACCCACCTCCCCTAAACCCCCTCATGACATCCTTTAAGAAAGAATCCGTCTTAAACCCCCCCACCACCCCTTCTCGGCCACCAGAAAGAGATGATGAGCGCGGGCCGAGGGGGGCACGCACCCGGCAGGTCCGTCTGTTATGACACTAAACATGGCCGACAGCTGGAGCTAAACCCCACGCTGGACCACATCCATCACTTTTATTGCTCCCCCCCCCCCTAAAATCGCTTCACCGGGGGGGCCCACGCATGAGCAGCGTGTCGCGTCACGGTGCCGAATGGAGGACATGAGAAAATGAGGAGGAGGGAGGAAGAAGAAAAGCAGATTAGTTTTTTTTTTTCGTTTTTTTTTTTTGCTGCGGCTGGAAAAGATTTATA